TGAAATATGAACACCAGTAAGAAAAAAAAAAAAAAAAAAAACTTTGATAATTTATACAAGTATGAGACTTTAACTTCTAAGTATATATTATTGTTTGACCAGACGTTAGATAACACAAAACTAATGAGTTTCACTTTAGTTTATATACTTTTGCAAATCATGTTTACTTGATGGACGAACCACCGTTTTGAGCGCAAACTGACATCTTTAGCTACTGAAAATTTAGGTACCATATCATATATAATTCCCACAATTTCATATTTCATTTGTTTGTAATTATTATTATACGATTATATAAAAAAAATAAAAAAAAATTAAAAAGAATAGTCAGCATGAGTCCAACGAGGAAACATAAGCTTCTGTCGTAGTTTTACATAGATCATTTATTGGAAAGGTTTTTTAATTAGGATTCCGAAATCAAGTCTGATGGGTTTGCTGCATAATTCTGCTGCTTATCAGCTTCAATGCAACGAAGCTTTTTTCTGACTGTGTCAAATGACGTACAAAAAAAAAAGTCTGAACCTGAACTTCCCCATGAAGTAATAGCTTAGTATTTGATCGTTAACATATTGCATATAGTATAGTAGATATATTAATATAATGATGTTTACGATTAGATCGTTGGTGCAATAAAAAATCTGTTCTCCAAGTGTAACTGAATAGATATTATGTAATTGACCATTACTTTAATACATTTTTAACATCGATTTTATAACTGTTATACTGCTTATGATATAACGTTAAAATTACTTTTTGCATTATATAAATACACTAGGATAAGACCCGTGCTATGCACGGGATGAATTTAGTATTACATTTAAAATTTAAATTAATTTTACATTACATATAATCATATAGTTAATAGCTTGATAAATATATATTTTATATTTTGATGATAATATCTAGAATATTATATTGTATATTTTGTGCTAAAGAAACTGTGCTGTTTAAGTTTGTGGTGTTAATAATTAGTATAATATATTATATTTTTGTATATTTTTGATATGTATAAATTGGATTAAACATTACTTCTTGATTTTCAATTATTATATTGCTTCCATTTTATATTAATTCTTATAATAAAAATTGTTTTTGTCACAAAATAAATGTCATTTCTAATTGTTAATGTAATAATTAATTTTATTATACAATTTAATTATGCTTTTATATAGAAATATAAAATAAATTGTTTCCGTATATCGAAATATGAAAATGGAGTATGTATTATGTAACGTATCACCTTACGAATATAATTATTAAGTTTCAATTTTGAAAATAATTAAACTATATGACAATTTTAAGGGAAAAAATATTTAGATCAATTTGTTGCTTAAACTTCTACGGGTAACAATTTTGTGATGGGCTTATATGTATAATTCCATGCTATTGGACCGTAAATATTAAAATGACAATTGTTTTATTCTAACAAATCGGTAATGCAACATTTAAACTATTCCCCAATCTTGTTCTGATTAAGAAAAGGGGATTAGGGTTTACAGCATAACATTTCAACCTGTTCGACGATCCCAGAATGCCTCAGCAAATCTCACACCAACGATTCTTATATTCGAAATTTTCATATTTAGTGCCTATTCCATTCGCCTTGTTGTTTCTTCTTTATCGACATCAATCATCTTTGATAGTTACCCTTGACATAAATTAGCTTCTCCCACAGCTAATAGGTTACAGTACGGTGCATCTATGTCATTCGTTCCGACTTCCTTGGACCAGAAAAGGTACCACATAAAGTATAAGAGTAGCCTTTCAAAATCGTTTTTTCCAGGTGGTGGAACCTACCTTTACAATAACAGATGAATTAAAACTAACAGTATCTATTCTAGAACGACAACGAATTGGTATCGATGAAACTCATTCTGCTGAGAAATGAATGTGTTGACCTGTTGTCCAAGATCCCTGTCACGTGAAGGTTATCTTTGGCGATTTTTTTTTATTATGCAACAAAACTAAATTATATCATGAAATTCTTTAATTTTCAAACTAAGCCAGTGATGATTATATTCTCTCTTATACATGATCTCCTAAAGTTTATCTTACATTCTATTGTTTCATTATAGTTATGAGCAAGACTCAACAAACTACTTCGCTTCCCTTATGAGATGATGCATTCTACAGGGATTGGACATAATAACAGAGGGCCAAACAATACTTGCCGATGAAAAGGTTAGCTCCACACTTACTAAGTAGTAGTATAGTTGTTTGGGTACTGAAAAAAGCTAATCTTGATCAGTTTGTCTGTTCAGTTGATTAGTCTCTTAAAACATATAGAAAAAAAGCATTGTCAAAACCAAAGAAAAGAAACAAAAATATATGATTATATAAAAGGAAAATTCAATTTTTTTCTGGATAACTAAAGCTGAAAGCTTTCTTCAAATATTTAGGAAAAACGATCAATTTTTTTCTCGTTATATGAATGACTAAATGACTCACATCTCATTCGTTTATATAGATTACAGAAACAGAGCATTGATGCCAAAATATTCGTAATATTTGTCAATTAATGTAATTGTTTCCATATATACGTCCTTGACTTTGAAGCAATGCATATCTTGAATTATATATAGGAGTAAATATCGCCTTGATTAATTAAAATTAACTTATTTACTTGAAAGAATCTAATCAATGAGTTTGCTCATCAAGTTTCATCATTCATTTTCTCATTCCTTTAGTTGAGATTTTCGCACAATTCAAATTTCCCTAAATTTAATTACTTGATTGAAGCTGACTTTTGGAAGTATTAACATTCCTTTACGATTATGTATCACATCTAAATTCAAATGAAACACAAAGGCATGGGAAGATTACTGCATTAATTATCCCTTTACATTTTAAACTCGTCAACATTAACCGAAACAACCCAGAATCAACCATAACCGTAACATTTACATATTTGATGATGTGCAAAAATCGTCTGCATATAAGAATATTTAAAGCATAATATCACATATGAATCTTTGAATACAGATCTAACATGTTAAGATGTAAGGCAAGAATTAAGGTTGTGAATACTTTAGGTTCTAAAATGAGTGAAAATACTATGAATGAGTCCTTTATTAAAATTCATATGAACATCAATATGAAAATGCAGAACCTAAAGTAACTTGTGATTGTTTATGTGATGGAAAGGAGACTGTGAATGAAATATAGTCATTTGTATATTGATATGAACATTTTTCTTCAAATTTGCAGATGTGATGGGAAAAAAGACTATGAAAGATCGAAAATTGCCTAGATATTAATGAAAATGTTATCGTATTTGTATTGCAGCAAGTGTAGTTTGTACGTGCTCTCTTGAAGGTGAATATGAAAATACACATGAGAAGGTCTTCCAAGAAAAAAATATATAAGGAGATCATCGAAGAAAATACATATAACAGGTCCAATCATCACATTTGTGTATGCAGCTCGTCGAGTCTCTTTTAGTTAATGATAATATGTTGGTCCGTATTTGTGAGTGGCATTTTGTGTAATTAATCTAGTTAAGAAAGGGTAGTAAATTATTTAGGCTGAGGTTGAATGTGGAGGTGCCACGTCAGCATGGCATGAGTGTAAATCATTTACACTATAAAGGTTAGGCTTTCAAAATGCTTCCCTATTAATAAGAAAGGGATGTACGTCCTTATAATGAACATATACCAAACACAATATACTTCATATACAAACCAACTAAAACGCAATGAACGCTGAACCGAATTATGCACTCGCATTTGACCACTACATCAGTCCAACATCAACGGTCCCAAAAAAAGGAATAACTGTCAACATAAAACGTAAACGTACGAATCAAACATGTATTTCCATTTTTATGGGATTATTGACCACCACTCTCGGATATCTCACCGACACAACCACTGATGTCATGGAACACATGCTAACATATCATGACATTACCTTATCCGCCGCGATAAACATCGTAGAGCGTACTAACGAGTACGTTCACGCTATTGTCTCTAATCTAACCGAACACCAAGATTCAGACTTCGACGTGGTAGTGAATATAACAGATTACAGCCCTGAGTCCATCCACAGACTTGACGTTGACGTAGCTACTATCAACCGCGAGATGACCGTCAGGGATGCAACATCCGATGAAGAAGATGATCTCTGCACCATCTTCTTTGAGAGATTTGGGAAAAACGGTATTGTCAACACGCTAGACTGCGGCCATGTCTTCCATCACAAATGCATTGTATCCTGGATTCTCATGAGATTAACGTGTCCAACTTGCCGTGTTGCAGTTAGATAATACGGATTATTCGTAAAAAAAATGGATCCAATGTAACGCGAAGCACAATACTATGTACCTCCTTTTACTTTATCCAAAATACTAAGATATTAAATAACACTTTACAAAATATTATAAGTGATTAATCTTCATGAAATAATATATGTCTCTTATTCATTCATTATCAAAAACTATTTTACACAAAATGGTGAAAACCCCGGGAATTTAATGTGCATATTAAATTAAAATTAACAATTGATGAAACATGTTTATACGTTGAAAATAATTAACATGGATACTACAAGTGATGACACGATATATAATACCGTACTACATCATTTAAACATAATTTTATTAGAGGATCATACCAAAACTTGAAAAATAACATAAAAAGGAAATAGTCAAACCAAATTTATATCTTACATATTTAACATTCCTGATTTAAGAATGATATTAATTATTCATAACAGCTAGACTAAAAAAATACAAGTTTGTAATTCTGTCAGAACATGAATTAGATCGTTTCTGAAATTTGAACTTAGATACGCACGATTAATTGTATATATATGATTTATATCAAATATTCAATGTATTTTGACAGAATCTTGGAACATAAATACTAATAAATCAGTATCATTGACCGCATCACTCGCTGTCAAAAATATATATACATACAGTTTACCAATCTATTCTCATCAAAACCACACAGCATCTCCATCTCAAAATCACGAAACCCCTTCTTCTCAATCAACGTCACATGAAGGAGTCTTCCAGCGACTCACCACCATCTTCACATCAAGATTCAAATGATGCCCCAGATGATATCAAACCTGAGCCAGCGATAAATCTAACCATTAGCAAATCAGGTATTGACGTTGAGAACTTGGCGATGGAGACCTACTTCCACACCCTATCCCTCAAGTATTTTGCATCTTACCCGTTGCGGATGGTACTCCAACACGACCGCTTGATGGAGTCATGTTTAGAATTCAACAATCCACAAGCGCACTATATTCAAGGTATAAATAAGTATTTCATTTACAAGAAAACCTTTGAGGCACTCAACCACTTTCGTGCTTCTGCATCTGGAAAATACAACAAAGGTACGTATATGTGTGGTTTGTTACTTCTCTGTAATGGAAACATCAAAGAGGGAAAGAGGATCTTAGATAGCCTGAACTGGAAAAACACGTTGCCTAAATCCGCCCGGTTCTGGATCAAGATTAAAAAAACCCTCGATGTGTATCCAGTCCCGTTGGAGGATGCGTACGTGAAGAACATGACCAAACTCAAACCTCCGGCAAGTTGCAAGCTCCAGGGTGCACGTCATCTATGCAATGATTGTTACTATCATTCACGAGTTGAAAAATTTGTCATCTATATAACTAAGAGAGGATAGTGAGTATCGTTATCGTTCTAATTTTTTTGATTAATAATGTGTGACACCGATCTGGTCACTTTTAAAATTTAATATAAAAAACAAAAAAAAAACACGTCTCATTTACACTTATTTCGATTTATTATTTTCCCTCAAGTCGGTATATTCATCATTAGGTATGCCAGATTACACTTGGTAGATATGTTTTTGGCATGATGTCTCAAAGATTATATAAGCTATGAAATATGCAAACCCCTAGCTTGGAATTCTTATTTCGTCGAATAATTTTAAAATAAGATATCTATCATTATATAATATATTAACAAACAAAGAACTCATAAAAAAAAATTAGAACTGTATAGAAATATATTAACGTTTAATCTGTGTACTCCGATTGAAACTATTTTTCAAATATTCATATGTGTCTCAATATGATCAAGACTCATAATTATGCACATGTTTTAAATTTAGGTATAAAAACTCAAAATACCAAACATACAAAAAAAAATAATAATAATAATAGTAACAACAACAACTAATAGGTATAAAGACTCATATTATTCTGCATCATGCTTTACAAATCTATGACTTCTTTATTGTATTATATTAGACTTTTACATGATCTGATAGTTGTAACAAAAACAAATAATATTTTATGAACATTATTGACATTAAAATAGTAGTAACAACAATGACATTAATAATGAACATAATAAGAAATAAAACGACTAATAGTAACAACCATAATATTCATGGCTTATCAGTTTTAAACTGAGAATTAATGTCACATGTAACTGCGGACAAAAAAAAACATATAAATATGTTGATATATGTTTTCTATTACAGTAATCTATCAATAAGTCCCTTTTCATAATATGGAATCAGATCAAGATTATTCACTAATTTTTGAAACAGAAACACATCATGCGACAAATGGTGCTACAAGGATGCTCACAATCGATATCCACCGGTTCAATACCAATGAAGACAATGTTTCAATTCCTCTAGAATTTGCAACTACAAATGTTGGATCCCTTACGGAATCAACATTTACAATCCTCCAATATAGCTCATATGTCAGGACATTAGCACTTATTCGTGCATGCGAATTGCTGAGAAAACGTCGAGATACGTATCGGAAGTTGTTTCGTCTCTCAACAACTATGAACAAACAAATGAACACATAATTTTACATCTGACTCATTTTAATCCTCCTTCGGTAAACAAGATGGAGATACAGACTGCTGCATCAGATTTAGAATCTGAAATGACAATCCAAACAACAAAAGATGAGTATGAAGAGTGTACCATATGCATGGACATAATTTCAGAAGGTCAAGATATGAATTCATTGCAATGTGGTCACATTTATCATCATGAATGCATCACTAATTGGGTCAAAATCAACGAAAGCTGTCCTCTATGTAGAGAGACAATCTGATAAAATAACATGTACCGAACTATATGAGAAATGATCTCCCGGTCTCTGATGTCATGTTCTACTCATAAGTATTTCTTTTGACTACTAATAAATTGTTTTCAATAATATGAAATCGAGTTTTTTAATCTCTTTACTAAAAAAAAAATGTTTAATAATTAATAAATTATTACATTATGATCAAATTATATATTTCGTAATTTCCTAATTATGATTAATTTGTGATTATAATTTAAAAGAATGCCCAAATAGCAAATATTGTAAATTTAGATTTTAGTACAATTGTAAAATACTACATAACATCAACTAAATTTCACGAAGCAACAATAAATCGAAATATTAGTTTTAACAATTATAATATATAAAGCTCTGAAACATGTAAAAGTTTACGGTATTGATAATTAAATAAACATATTCCGTTTAAACTTACTACTATAACCATTTATGTAAAATATAAAAAATAATCAACGCATGCTCATAGCATCTTACACTGATTAATAAACCCCATTTGTTATATATCGCCAGACTTAATTATCATTAATACTGACATCGAGTGCTATATATACTGAATTTTTAGAATGTTTCGTATCATATCAAACTCATCAAGAAAAAAAAAAGAATTAGCTTCCGTACCAATTTGAAAAAAATCAATAACTAAGCCCACATCACATGATAATTTCTAACAAATGCCATAGTTTTTGTTTTGTCTACACAAATGATAAACTCTATCAACGAAAAGAATTATTCACCAACTTAAGGATTAAGCATACTAAAATAAAACTACAACCATATAAAAACCATAAAATGACCTTAAAAACCATGCACACAGAATGTTAAAATCTCAAAATATGTATTAATGAAATTAGAATATAACGAATATTACATATGCTTTATGAAATAAGACTCAAAACGGAAAATATACAATAAACAAACACACTAACAAACAACATTAATAAACAACAGTATAAAGTATAAATGGTCCAAGAATGTATATATATATATATATATATATATAAAAAATAAAGGACAAACAAAATAATAGTTGACAAATAAAAAAATGGAATAAAAATTGCCTATATAGAAATCACATCCTGCGCGTAGCGCGGGCCTCCCCTTGTTATATATAAAGAATAGGAAAGCACCAACTATGGAAATATCGATAACATGCTCCAAGATTTCTTAAATTTAATTACCGTAATTGTAGAAATGAGAATGTTTCAAAATATTGAAACCTCCAAGTATGGATATAGAGATAAAATACTCCAAGATTTCTTAAATTTAATTACCGCAATTATAGAAATTGGATCCAACTATGGAAATATGGATGAATTATCTAATATCTATATTCTTTCATCACGAATATTTTCATTCATTGCAAATATAGAAGAAATTAAAGGCTATAAAAAAGAGAATATATCCCATAGATTTATCAAAAATGTGTAAGATAATAAACATCTCAAGTTTTTGATTAATAGAAACGTGTGCTTCTAAAGTTGGGCTTCTGTTGAATCGAAAGCCCATGCTGACCTTAAAGGGATGATCTTCGTCATTTTTCTCAACACACTCTAACCGGAGATTAAAAACCAAACCAATTAAGCAAAAACTTCGAGGAAATGCTACAAAGTCTTTCAAGTTTACAGATCACTTCTTACGTACTTACATCAGAAGAAGATGAACGTTAAAAGAGTCACACATTCGTACATCATCGTGTCTTCTTTTGGACTCGAGCTAAATGAGCATGATTTCAATGTTTAATCTTCAAAAGAAAAACATATATCAAGCTAGGTATAAATTAAGATAGATTTTGGTTCTGCTTATGAGACAAACAATAGTAGTATAATATTTAAAAAGACATTATGACATGCAAGAATATTCCAAACGTGTTTGCATGAACACGTTGATGTACCGTGCAACACAAGTTCTTCACTGCCAGTGTTACTTTTTTTTTATCTTTTTTTTGCCAGTGTTACTTTATCTTCTCAAGTAGTATATTTTTTTTTTATAAATCAAAACCAACATAGGCTGTACAAGTCAAAGATCACCCACGATCTAATTCTTTGTTGTGGTGTTTGAGATGGGTTCTTCTAAATAAACATTGTCAAAATTACAATTTAAAACAATACGAATTATAATACACGTAAGCATGTACTTGCTTATAGATCCTGTTCATAAGAAGGGGATGATGTTTTTCATTCATTCATAAGCACCAAGGTTTAGTCTCAAGTTATTCAAAGAAAATAAACACCAAAACAAATGATCAAAACTCCTATGAGAACATCATCAATAAGAAGATGAGTTTTATTCTAAAAAACAACTAAAATCTTTTTTCTTAATCGATCAATTCCAGATGAACAGCGAATGATCCCAAGAAATGTATGATCCACATGCTCTTTTGTCTACTAAAGGGCCGAGCTTACTCTTGCTTGCAGTCTGGTGGCCTCTGGCCTTGTTGGTCGTCACCAACAATCTGAGATCTGCCTCCCTTCTGCAAAAAAATGAAAGAAAGATGATGATTACACATATGTATCATAAATTAGAGACACTGATTCCTATCTACTATACGAATGAAATGAGTAAAGTTATTCATGAGAATAGTTTTAGTAAGATCTCGTATGCACATTATCTATGGTTCAACACAGCCTAATCTTGGAGTCTCTATTTATTTTCATGCTGTTCTCTCAGTCTAAAAGCATAACAATTTAGTTACCGAGCTGCAAGTTTCAGAGTCTCATGCTGTTAAACCTTTTATGCATCAGAGCCTATATTTACTAATCTATTTTAGGGTCTCAAGACCATGCCCACTCTGAAACTTTATGATAAGGTTTTTTATGACTATGTGAGATTGGAGCCCTTTCGTACCTTCTTTTTAGTCTTGCTATCTTCTTCATCTTCATCATCCTCGTCCTCATCTTCGTCCTCCTCCATATCATCTTCGTCATCATCTATATTAAACTCCTCTACTTCAATAGCCTCACCAGTAAACCATGAGACAGCATGCGGGATAATCTTGGCCCGGATAGTAAATCTGCAAGAAGCATAATCAATAGTAGTTAGTAACTCATAAAGTAGATCCATGATTCAAAAGCAGATTCAGAACACAAAAGAAACCAAGTGTTTTCAGAAGAGGACGTACCCAATCTCATAATCTTGTTCCATTAGACTTTCAAGTTCCTCAGCCTGAAATCAAAGAACGGGAGGCATTACTAAATACGTTAACTAAAAAATTTGACAAGCTCTTAGAACAATCAATATCATACTTTGTCCTCCTCAATATCTTCATCGTCATCCGGAAGTTCTGGAGGATTAAAGAATTTGAAGAAGCTTTCACAATCTTCCATTTCGGTGATTGGTTTAGTGTTCGTTGAACCTTCCTTAGGCTTCTCCTTAAGAACCTTTTGAGTTAGACACTTTCCAGGATACCATTCAATTTCAGTCCTGTAGTAAAGGAAATAATATAAGTAAAGACACATTTCTACACCTCACAACAATCATATATGTAACGTGTGTAGGAGAGCATAAGCAGTTACCCCATAGCCTTCTCAAGTAGTGGCTCATCCTCATCAATCACATGATAAGACTTTGTCAAGACATCGTTTTTAAAAAAGGGATTCGAGTCAAAGAGAAACTCAAGTTTGAACCCTTTAGGCTCTTCAGTCTTGCACCACTTAATATCTTTAAGATACTTGAGAGCCTCTTCATCACCCTCTGTGACCTAACATGAAAGAGATTTTTTGATATGTTCATTCTCCACGGTTATGATTGGACTGTATATAAAAATATATCATAACTACATATGTGATACCTCCTCGGAAGTAACATCATTATTTTGCAAAGCAGTTAGCCAGAAACTTGGAACTCCTTTCTCTGAGATTGAACACATACAACAATGTTAAATTGTTTTCACCTTCCCAAAATATTAAATAAAAACAAAAGGAAGATAATATGTTCCTGAAGTTTAACCTTCAGCAGTTTTGTCCTCTCCTTCGTCCATCTTAGTATCCTCTGGAGTCAGCTCGATTTCAGTAGTTCCATTCACAATATCATAACGCTGTGCATTACAATTAAACCAAGTAGAGTTCGTGAAAAAAATTTTAGACATATATAACTAACACTCAAGATATGAGCAAATAGAAACGCTCTAGTCCACAGATGAATTTAAGACGATCTCACAGGTAAAATCTGACATTTTCTCTCATTAACAACTACCTTGGCATACAAAGGCTCATACAACTTCTCATACTTGGCTTCAAGAAGAGCTCTCTCCTCACGGAACTTGGCCTCTAGTTCATCGTATTGGCTCTGCGTTGAAAGAAGTCACTGGTTAATCAATAGGCAACAACACGTTAATATGAAACTTGACATTCAAATAAGCAAGGAGAATATACACTAATACAGAAGAAACAAAGGGTTACACAAATAAACATAATCAATCAGATCTTAAAGGTACACAAACTCAACTGAGTAATATAATATATCAGACACATAAGGTAAAGAAAATTCTCAAACCTGTATATCCTTCAAGGCATCGACTCGAGCTCTCACTTTAGGAGTTAGATTCTCAAGCACATCAGAATGCTCCCCAGCCAGATTCTGTAACTTGTTCTGTGGTTTTAAACATATAACAAAAACTCAAAAAAAAAATTCCCAAGGAACCTATAAACACTATCATTCTACCATAACGGAACGAAACAACGATGACACTAAACCCTAAAACATCAAAATCATGGCTACAAACAAATAGACTTACCTTGAGGGCGTTGATGAGGCCAGCTCGATCATCTTCATTAAGAGCTGGAAACAAAAGCAAAACGATAGAACAACAGTGAGGAACCACGACGAAAATAGGGTTTTTAAGAAGAGACAAGTGTAGTGGAAGGTGAGATTTTACCAGCAGTTAGAACGGCGAGGCTGCTGTTGTCTTTGTCGTTACTCATTTTTCTGAGGATTTTGGAGACGAAAGGTTTGAAAGTAAGAGAGGAGAAGAGAGGCGAGATAACCTTAAATCCTTTCCCTCCCCCAGCTTATTATATAAACCTAGCCAATTAACTGCCATTCTTAATTTGAGTATAGAAATAAATCTCTACCAAATAATATTTAATTTTATAATCTTATGCCTTTAATATTTAATATCTTGCTTTTTTTTATAATATCTTCCCTTTGTAGCTCAAGACATTTGAGTTTAATGAAGATTTGATTTTTTTTTTAATAAGAGATTGTGAAAATCTGTTGTGGTCATTAAATTTAGTTTATTTTCAACTAGGGTCGGTCCGCGCGTAGCGCGGAATGTCTATATTTATATTATGAAAATTTGTATTTTGTTTGTTTTTTTTCTTAAATATTCTTGAATATTTTTAACATATACTTCTAAGTTTTTGTTTGCTAAATATTATACTTCTAAGTTTTCGGATGAAGAGAAACAAATAAATGGATAGTCAATGATCTGATTATCATATTCCTGTAAACATAGTTGTCTTTAGTAGTTCTAGCCAGTATTAGGTATAATTTCATGAAATAAGAGGTGATGATTCTTGATAACAGTGACATATTATATCGCTTAGATACCTTGAAGGAATTCTTCAAGCTTTGATAGAGGTTGATTTCTATTCATTTGAAGATTTATATTTAGTAAGAGTTTTTTTTTTTTTTGTGTTGAAAGGTTGGATTTTGTATTCTCGAGTAATACAGAATTTAATTAAACATTTTTAATATATATAAACGTTTTTTTTAATATATATAAATTTGTATTGTATATCTTTTATTCATTCTCTTAATTAAACATTTTTAATCATGTATGGTAGCATTTTTAACAATGATTATTGGTGGTTAATTTTCTTTAAGTGCTGGGTGTGCTTGTGCATTACGCTCTAACTGATAACCACTAAAATATAATATAAACAAAAAAATGAAGAGAAACAAATAGTATAAAAACAAAATCTTTATTTTTCCTTCTTAAATTAAATAAAATAATAATGTCTTATAATTCTCTAAATTAAAATAATGAAAAATAATATTGAAAAATATTATTTGTAAATAGTGAATATCTTAGCTACTTTTAGAGTTAATATCCAAATATATATTAAAATGCATAAGATATTTTGAAATTGTCAAAAATATTTGAAAATATATACAAATAGTTAAAAAATACTTAAAACACCAAAAATACTTACTATATATATTGATGTTCTATCAAAAATATTTAAGACAAACTACGTTTACATTAAATTTAGGCATTTTGGCATATATTGCTCAAATTTATATTTAATATATTATTTCTATTTTTAGATTTTGAGAAATTTGAAATATATATGAATTTTAAATTTTTTTATTTAATTTAAACAAATTATCTGAACTGAACACGAAGCGAATCAGAACCGAAATTTATAAATATCCGAATAGGATTCAAATTTTTTAATTCCGAAACACGAATAGATCGGAACCGAACTCAAATGGATATCCAAACACCCAAACTTATTTATATATATACGTTTTATGGTAGTTATTTGTGAGTTTCCAAAGGTTCCATGCAAGTTACGTATAGAATATTGATATAATTGCTTTGTCAAACATCTCATGTGGACGTTGGTAACTTATCATCGCACTCGGGTGGCTTAGACCGTATAATGATGTCTTCTAGCTTTTATTTTTCTTTACTATTTCTCGCTATAGTCGAAGGTTAAAACAGAAGCTATAGTTGAGGTAAAACTGAAACGATTGTCTCATTTGCTTTCTAATTTCCATCTAGATTCATTGTTACTGTTTTTTGTGTTATTGATTCTTTGGACAAAAAACTCTATAAAAGAACTAAAGCAAAGCAATGCCTGAGAATATCTCCGATCAGATGAAGTTTATAAATTTCTTCATATTTTTGTAGTAATATCCTGCTTATAGATTGTCCATATCATTGATGAGGCAACTTCTTGACATTATGTTAGATATTTTTTTTTGATCGAATATGTTAGATAAAAGATACCAATACATGTTGTGATATTTTGGTATATGAATAAAATGTTAGGATTTATATACAAATTTTGGTTTAAGTAAACTGTTTTAGTGTTGCTGTATAAAGTCTCTTCAATAGATCTATGTAAAGAATTTCACTTACGCAGTTAAAGAAATGCTGTGAAGTTTGGAGAACTCAATCAGCATACATATGGAGAGAATCTCAAGAGAGGAAGTTGAAATGGAGGCACATCTAATCGTAGGAGAAGAAGAAGAGTGAGTGAGACTGAAAAGTATTTGGAAGCTGAGGCGTTAAGAGTTAGAAGAAACTTCTGATCTAGGTCCGTGATCTCACATGAGTTGATTGTTGCAGATGCCCTCAATACCCTTCACTGGAGACCTGAATATAGGCGGGTGAGTTTCCCCTGAATACTAAGTCATGTAGCCTTTCATACCATCACTGCAAGTAGTCCCAAGAACATTAGGAAATAATTCGAAAAAATCTTAAAAGTTGCAAGTGTAAAATCTTAAAAGTTGCAAGTGTAAAATCAACCTTACCAGCTGATTTCATATTCATCAACCGTTAGGTTAAAAATGATAAGAAAGTTATTTTTCATTTGATTTAATTTATGAACCTTAGCTCAGGTTCGATGTTCACCTTAACGTCTTCTCTCTCCTTTCCACTCAATTCCCGAAAATGCTTGTCAAGAGAGAAGATGACTTTGGCAAGAGTGCAACATTACTAAGAAAAGCATGATACACATACTGTCGGTTCTACACTTATTTTCATCCTGCACAACGAAAGTAAAACACTTGAAAGATAATCATTTAAGAAAACAGAACCTGATATGAAGATAATTACTAAAACAATTGGTGTGGAGGATTGGCACGTTTAATTGTTTACATTTTTGTTGGCATTTTAATTTTGTAAACAGTTGCTATTAACTCTCCATGGCTGAACAACCAACTGTACCACATGAATGGCAGCAAACAACAAACGTAAGTTCTCATGATCGTAAGTTCTAAGCAGTTTGAGAGAGAAGTCTGAATATAATATGAGATTAAATTATCTCCCAAAGAGTGAAAATAAAATTTCGATATAAAATTTTGAAAACTCTGAGTTCAATGCCTGATTCTGTTTTTAAACCACCAAGGTCATGCTCCTCCTAGACGACAGCTTTAGTTTTAAACTAAGATGATCAAACACATGTAAAAAAAGAAACGTAATCAACAAAGGGATTCATAATTCTATTTCTAATAGGCTCGTTAAAGATTTGGAAACAAAAGTATATATGTTATGAGTAACACCTGCGTTAGTTTAAACTAAGATGATCATGAAGTTTAAGAATGGAGTCACCTTAGCAGAAGCATGTCCACACCCGTCAGTTCTCCACTGCGCTAGCTTCCCAAAATCAAAGCAGTAGCACCCTGGCGATTGAAGACCAGCGGCCAACCTTCAAATTAGAGAGAACGATTGATGGTTAGCCTTTATACTGGTTTAAGAAAAAAAAAGTAGTGAACAAAACCAAATTACACATTTAGAACATGCTGATGAAGAAACTATTATACTAACCTCTGGTTTCATATCTCTGTGAACCAGACCACGTAAATGACATTCAGCTGCAACTTTTAGCATCTGACTTACTACAACGGTCGCGTCTTTCTTTCCTGTAAAAAAATAGCAACAAAAAGTATTAAGACTCTAACATAGTTCAAATCGGAAAGAAACACAGAATTAGCCATTGCGACGATAGTGAATGGTGAGATACGAGGATGGTTTTCAGAGTACGAAGCATACCTATTTATACTTGTAGAGACACCGATTCGGAGTAGCTTACACCATATTGATGTTGATAAAGAGTTATTAAGACGATAAATGGAACGGATCCGTGATTGGCGCAGATTCAACCGAAAGCTAAGGAAGTCGAAGGGGGAGATGAGCTAATAGGAAACGAACCGACGCAGAGCTACCCCATCTATCGCCGTCTTGGCTGGGAACAGAGTCCGTCAAGAATCCTAAACACCTCTAGATGTCGGCACATCATAGACGTCGTCAATAATAACCTAAGGCCCAAAACAATGAATAAGCCCAACAACAAAGTGATAGATCTTAACCAAAACGCAAAGTATGAGAGAAAAGGGACACGTGTCATCTGGAGAGGAAGTGAATATCTGACGTGGCACTATAAGAAGGAGAGAAACCCTTCTTTATATATATAGATAGATATATTTAATCTTCTCTATTAAAATAAAAAGAAGTACAATTTGTATCTACCATAAACAATTCATACTTAATTCATTTAATTAATTACATCTATCTGATTATTTACATTAATCTATTAAATTTACATTTTATTTTTATTTATAACAAAATCTGTTGATAAAAATCTTAACAAAATTTTACTAAAAAAGTTTAATTATCTTTCAAAAATTAAGGTATTAATTAATTTTGTAATATATATTAATTGTAAATAGATTTTATTAGAAAACAAAATTAAATTATATATTACTTTGTATAAATTTTATTGTTATAATCTATATTATATTAAAATTGAAGTAACATATGAATTAAATAGGAAAATTATATTAAATTATTAAATAACAAAATAAAACGTATAAAACTAATCATTATATATTAATGTTATAATGTCTAACCAAGAAAATATATAATTACATAATATATGACACTAAAATAAAATCATATATTGTATTTAAATCATATGTGCTAATATCATATTTATACATTTGTAAGATTAAAATTTATCCGCACATACATGTGGATTAAATATAGTTTAAATTAAACAAGTAAACAAAAGATGAATTTGTTTCTGTTCTAAAATTTTTGTTACACCAGTCCGTCGGGATCAAAGTTTAGTTTAAATTAAACAAGTAGGCAAAATATGAATTTGTTTATGTTCTAAGATTCTTGTTACACCTCAGAATATCCCTTTTTCTCAGCTAGAAGGTCTAGCATGCGTGCAAGTTTCACAAAACGCAGTTACACACTATGCAGTTTAATCTAATTCGTTTCAGTAAATGAATACATCCATAGTCAGTGCCCAAAGGGGCTTACCAATAACCTATCTAACCGGCCAAAATATTGAAGAGATAAAAGCTATTTTGGCTTTGTTTTCACGAGAAGGAAAGAGATGCAAGTTTGCTGAATCACTTACTCTTCTCTTCTGACCAACTGCTCTTGCTAATGCAACAGAGGTTTTGAAATTTCCAAAACAAATTAGTGTAGCTCAAGAGGGATGAAATGGTTATTGGGAGAACAAAGACCTTCCAAGGATAGGTAACAATTGAAGAAGTGGTTCTGGGACGAAACTCGTGAACCTTCTTGAGATATTGGATTTAAATAACGGTGATGATTGCAGGCATTAGAGGATGATTGCCAAAGAACCACTTAACTTGATCCTTCACCAGATTTTGTATAACATAAACCATTGAACATTTCTTCAAAGATTTTGGATTCTTGAAGACTTTAAGCTGCAGTGATAGCAAGGCAAACTGAATATGTTTTTCGTTCTTGGTAGTGGAAAGCCAGTAGATGAACCATTCTTCATCTTTTCGCACCTTGATACTTGGTAACTCTGTAACACCATCATGGTTTATTATCGATGTACATAAATGTATATATGGCTGATTCAAAAAGTCACAGCATATGTTTGAAACACACCAGCAGCTTGACTACATATGACTGAGACAACTATACAGAGACTAAGAATTCAAAAATATATTAGTACAGCAAATATTACCCCAACAAATAGTCTCACCGAAATCGTCGGTTAGACGGTTTACCGTTAGACCTCTTTGTTGATTTCGATGTGGAAGAAAAGGAACCTGACCGAGACGACTTTCCACGTTCCTCATTGTCTTTACTAAAGGCCATTAGCAGACTCTCCTGTATTTCCATGTACTTTTGCCTCTTCTCCAGTCGGTTCTCAGGAGTGTCTTTCTCTACGAAAGCAAGTATACTCAAGGCCTCACAGTCCGCAATCTTATCCAGCAATGCGGAACAGCGTGGGAAGAAGCGTCTCCCCAATTCCACTGATAATACAAAAGTAAAGGAAACCAAAGTCAGGTATGGGTTTAGTTTTCTTCTTTGTTAATAGCAAGTAGATGAAGCGGGTGAGAGAGAATCAATACCAGTTTTTGAAAGCGCTTCTAGTCTACTCCGATGCTTTTCTAGGAATACGAAAGGTGCCGTGTATATGTCCGGTGCTGACCTCTTTGCACCAGTGCCGTCAGGCTCTAGGCTATTCACGATAAACTCGGTTGTTCCCTTCGTCTCCGCGATATACATTGCAAGTTGTGCTTCCTTTGGAAAGAGACATCGAGCCATTTGAACTATAAATAGTATATTGAAATAATACTCATCATTAGTTCACTCAGTTTTCTAACAGAACTTCATTCAAAAAAATAAGAAAGGAAATCAAAAAGAGTTAAAAAGATACCTCTGTTTTCAAAATCAATCAACCTTATCTTCAGTTCATTATCAGGGGCCAGTGCAAGAGAGGGAGAAGCGTCTTCACGAAACGGATCTAGTTTATCTGGTTGCTCTAGTATCTCTACACATAGTCGGCCTTTAGGAGAATCCTTGCCTTGCTCCGGAATACTGTTATACTCACCCGCCTTAGTGACTTGCTTCGCAATCAAGAGAGCAGTTCTACCATCCAAAGCCATCTCCGACGCATTCGCCCCTTTCGTCAACAGAAACGCTATCAAACTCGGCTCCTTCCGCATCGCAGCAACGTGAAGCACCGTGTACCCCCTCGGATTTCTCCGGTTAACATCCGCAAGCTCAAGTTTCAGAAGATCAGTAGCAGTCTCCACATCACAGTAAGCAACAGCAAAATGAAGAGCATACGCATCGTCTAGACTCGTGTTGCCTTCTTTCAGAAGCATGTCCACAAGCGCAAGATCATCAGACTCAAGCGCTTTGTGAATCTTCGAGACATGTTTCTCCGGTTCAGGTACTTCCAAACCAAGCTCTTTACGGATATCAATAATTTGTTTCACAATGTGCTGCGGCAATGACTTGTTAAGAGTAACTATATCTACATTGGACTTAACAATGATCTCTGTGCATTTATCAAATAGCTTCTTGCATGCTTCACCACAGATGTTAGCAAGCTTGAGTAGAACCAATGTATCCTCTATGATAACTTTGTCTACAACATCCAGTAAATGCCTCTGAAAATGCAAATACAGAGTTTTTAAAAAAAAAAAAAAGTTTTGTTCTAAAAATCGGTTTAGGCAGCGTCTAGGCCCTGGATAGGCGGCAAATCGCTGCTAACCATTACAATTTTCATAAAATCCGATTTATACAATTCAAATCGTTCTAGTAAATGCCTCTGAAAATGCAAATAGACAGAGTTTTTTTTACATAATTGTTCTAAAAATCGGCTTAGGCAGTGCCGAGGCGGCAAATCGGTCATAACCATAACAATTTTCATAAAATCCGATTTATACAATTTAAATCGGTTTAAACGGTTCTAAATCAAACTACATACATCTATTATATTAAAATAGAAGTCACAACCTCATTTCATGTGTAATTTTTAAGTTGGATCAATCTTTTTTTTATATTAAATATGTTTTAAAAATACTTATAATATATAGAATATTTGAAATACTTTAATCACAATATCTTCTGATATCTTTTCATTTAAAATATAATATTATATATATTAAAAATTTCGAAAAAGCTGTTTAAGAAGATTTCAACAAGATCTTAATTTTCAAAATTATATATAAATATTTGCAATACTTTCGTGATTAGTATTGAAATATTATTATATATTAATATATTTAGTTATCATTTTTAAAACGAAAATAAATATTCTATCGCTTTTTATCTATTATATAATCATATTAAAAGAAAATTATTATCTTGATCTAAATGTTTTAACAATATCTTAATTTTCAAAAAGTGTATGTAAAAATTTTCACTAATTTTGTAGTTAGAAATGGACTATTATTATGCACTAATATATATATAAAAAATTTTGTTTATAAATTAAAAATGAAATTTATCCTAATTCTATCTATTTTATAATCATAATATTTAACCATGTAAAATAAAAGTTTTTATTGAAATACATATTATAAATTTTTATTAATTTAATAGAGTTATAAGTTTATTTTCATAAATATCAAATATTTATATTAAATATATAATATGCTAACAGACTACAATACATGTATAAACGTTAAAATATTTTAGACTTTTGTATATATAATAATATATTATGTAAAATGAATAAATATAAAATATTATTAAAAGGAAATCGAGTTTTGAAGACGGGTCCACATTTAACATATATTAAACACAAAATACTTTTCAAATATGTTTTTCATGCTCATATTAATTTGTTTGATAACCAAATACAAATACAATAAAATAAATATATGATAAGAAGTAGCAAATACATGTAATTATTTTAAACAATCGATTATTTACAACATATAAACTATATATTATTTTATTTTAAATAGTTATATAAATATTTAAGAGTGATTTAGCTCAAAATACCAAAAGAAGTAGATATTTAGGAATTTGCCATATTTTAGGGGGAAAAATTAATGATGTGGGAAAGAAAAAGAAGAGAGAAATAGGGTATGTAGCTAAATAAAGTGTTTTGTGTGTGTATGGAATGTAAATAAAGAATATTTAAATATATGATTAAAATTAGAAATGATATAAAATAAATATATATGCATATAAAATTGAAAATAAAACCCGCACGGTTGTGCGGGTCAAGATCTAGTTAGTCTTTAAATCCATCTAAATTAATCTAATTCTGTAAATTTAAGCAATAATGTTAGTACAAATCCACAAATGTGTCTAATTTCATTTGCTTTGTATATCTAATTTTGATAATTCATCAAAATAATTTTATAATTATCCCGGAGATGAACTGGAGTTAATGATTGCCTTATACCTGATACATTGCAACCAACTCCGGAATCTGGAAGACGAAAGCCAAGTAGAGAACCTCCACCATGAAATCAACCGCTGGACGGCATGACACGTGGCAGCAATCCTCGTCAGCGCAATCAGAAACTCCCTTCGGCGGCGGCCTCACTCTGCCGCTGTAAACGTACGACATTACCGCCACAACCGAATCGAATCCGACTTCGTAATCCGTCGCGATCTTCTTCAGCTCGAGCTTAACGGCGGTGGATTCCTCCTCCTTCTCGTCCGCGGCTGCTGCTGCTGCTAACGCGTTTTTGAAGAAGGGGCTTCTCGATGCGAGGATGCAACGGTGGAGGAAAATTTCCCGATCATCGGAGAGAATCAGCTTGGCGTCGCTGTAGAGCGATTCCGACGAGTCGAATAGGGACTCGAGGTTGTTGGAGAGCAGTTGAAACGCCGGTAAATCCACTGGAAGCTCTGGTGGATGAGCAACAGATGATTCGGTGTTATCAGTTGGTGCGGTGGATACGATAGTGCTGCTTTGGTTGCTGATTTCATAGGAATCGGAGAATCCAGCGATGGTGTCCATTAACCGTTTCGATGGAGTCAGAAATTCGAGATCAGAGATGGTGAGACTTCTACGAAACAAGGAGCAATCAACGAAGAAGGCTTAGTGTTATCAGCCGAACCGTTTGAGATCGTGGAGAGCCGCACGGCGGATAAGGTAACTATTCACGAGCACAGTGAGGTAGAGAGAGAGGCAAAGTCAAAGAGAGAGGGAGATAAAGAAGTGGTGGTGAGAGATGAAACGTCGACGGTTTGATGAGTATCGAATCGGTATATTTCCCGAAAAGGCGAACGAAAGAGTTTTGGTTACGTCCCATTTGGAGGGAGTTTGCTTAACCGATTAATAACCGATGCTGTGTGTTTTTAATTAACTTTCCCTAATGATTCTTAAGAAAGGCCAACAATAATACACTGGCCCATTAAAAGTCCAGTTCCCAAAATATTATCTAAGACAATGAGATGCCTTTCGAATTTCTATACAGTATCTTGGAGTGTCGAATAGACTCCATTGCTTATTAGTTACTAACTTAGCCATGATTATCTGCCACAGACTCTGCTTATATCTTTAGATTTGCTACAGCAGTTATCATGTTAAGAATAGACTGGGGAAAATCGAAGTGCAAAGATATATACAAAGATGAAGAAGTTTAACATATATATATATGAAAAAATATATAACCTGGCCCAGGAATGGTTAACACTATGATTGATACAACACACTAATTCCTAGTTACTAATTTGATCATTTCAAGCTAATGATTCTATATAAATACTTATTTTTCGACAAATATTTTCTATAATTTCAAATTAAGTGGTGGTAATTTAATAGTAATATTCTGAATTTCAACACGTACTCTATTAATATTGGGTTCAGTTTGCATAGAAATTAAATTATTACTATTTAGTTCGCGATTGATCGGATAAGTCTATAGAAAAAAAATTATAACTTCAAAAATGTTAGGGTGTAGGGCAGAGGCGCATGGGCCCTGGGGCTCAAATATCAAATATGTTTCACAAAAATAATGTTAAAGAAGAGATCCAATCTCCTATATATTTTTGTGAAGTTATTCGCCAAATGTCATCTCTACAAAAAATGATAACATGACTACTAAAATTAATGACATGGCTTATAGTTTAATATAACATAGACAATAGCCATGTACTTTCTGAAGACGCAGCGTCAGCGTCCATGTTTAAGAAAATACAAAGAAATTGAAGTGACAGCTCAGCAATCAATAAAAAATGGAGGATTGGAAGATGCTAATAGTAGCCACTAGCGGCAATTCAAGGTATGTACTAGAGACACTGATTAAAACAGCGGTGATAAAACCCAGAAAAGAAGACCAACGACACCGCCGGCAGCAACTCCGTAACAACATTCCAATGAAACTTCTCTCTCGTGCTTGTTATTTTCTGGTCACTGGTCTCTAAATCTGCGTTAGAGAAACGAACATGGCTAATTACATGTATTGCTGATATATATATATATGGTAAATTTTATAAAATATGACAATAACTGATCCATTATATTTGATGTTGATTTATATTTTTGGTAATTTTTAAAAACATATAGAAATAACTCATAAATCAAATCATCACTAAAAATAAATATATTGAAATATGCATTATAAATTTCAAAATTTTATTTCATTAATACTTTTCTAATTATACAATTTTTATTATTAATATTTTTAAATTTTTCTACATCTTTTAAAAAAATAATAAATTTTAATCGTAATATTATTAATTTCTTTTAGATATCGAGAAATTTTATAAATATTATTTAGTTATAATTTTTAATAACTATAGAATTTTTATATGAATTTTCTTAGTAATTATACAAGTTGATTTAATACATTTAACTAAAATAAATAGATAAAAAAATTGTAAGATGCGAATTTAATAAAATACATGTATATTATTAAGTATAATCAAATCAAATTTATATTAAATATTAGTCAAAATAATAAAATGTATAATATTAATAAATTTTCCTTTAAATATAATTTAGTTTAAAAAAAATTATCAGTGTAGATAGTGTAGGAAAACAGCTAAATTTGTTTAAAAAAAAAATAGGATTAAGAGCCTAAAAATTTTAAGTTACCCTTTGTTACGTGTAAAAAATATATTAAAAACTATTTTGCCCAGGTCTATACATACCTTGAGCCGACCTTAACAACGTGATTACATAAATATACTTTTCTTTGGTAACACGATTACATAGATATAGAGAATCACAAAAACAAGCTATTTCTATGTTAATGGAAACAAGAGTTTGTTGCATATCAAAAGAGTCGAATAGTCTGTTTCACCAAATATAGGTGCATGGCACTCCGACCGTTGATGTAATGGATGTAGTGAAATTGATATACAACTTTCACTACAAAAAGACAAGGTATATTCCGACAGAAAATAATATTCTTGAAATATATCATGCAAGTCCGATGAAATTATGAGGAAACGTAATTTTTATGTTTTTTTAAAATTTCGTCAGAATATTTCGACGACATTCCAAAGAAGTTCGATTTCGTTGGTATAGTTTGACGTTATTCTGAGGAAACGATATTCCGTCGGAATATAACGACGACATTCCAAGGGTAAACTATAACCGTTATCGAGCCGTTGAAAAATTTAACATTTCGACGAAATTCCGACAAATATCATTTTTCTGTCGGAATTTCTTCGGAATATTCCGACAAAATTCGGACGAATATTTATAACTGTTGTATAGCCGTTGGGAAATTTTAAATATTTCGAGAAATTTGAAAAATATTATATATCCGTCGGAATTTTGTCAGAATTATCGGCAACATTTCATCTATAAATACAAGCACTCCTCATCCTCTTCATTCACTCAATATTCTCATTCTCACACTTACTATTTACAGACGAATCTGGTTCATAAAAAATATGTCTTCTTCAAATTATTATCGTTCGTGGATTGATCGACCTCATTTGGATCTTGACATGAGATTGCTTACGGAAGAATGCCAAAAAGATATAAAAGAATTCATGGGGTTAGTTCAACGACAACCGGAAACAAAAACGGGTATGTTAAGATGTCATTGCTCTACTTGTAAAAATAGAAAGGTTATAAGAGAGTGGGATGTTTGGACTCATCTGTATGTGAACGGATTTACACGAAATTACAAAATTTGGTATTATCATGGGAAAACTGATTATGAATATGGTAGTACTAGCCAATTTCAGACAGCGGATAGGTTAGAAGAACCAATTAGAACGGACGTAAATTTTGGTGTAGGTACTGAGCAGATGGTAAATGATCATTTTAGAGGGGAATAATTACTCAATACAGAAGCTATGAGATTTTTTGATATGTTGGATGCAGGAAAACAACATTTGTACCAAGGTTGCAGAGATGGTCATTTACCTTTATGATCTGCAACAAGACTGATGTGCATTAAAACTGATTATAATTTTGTTGAAGAATGTGTGGATGTGATTACTGATTTTATAAAAAGAGAATAATCTAGTCCCGAGTTTATACTACGAAGTTCAGAAACTCATAATTGATCTTAGTTTACCGTATCAGGTAATTTTTCATTCAAAAAAAGAGAAATTGATATACAACTTTACTCATTAATTAGTTAAAATATAATCTTTAATTAGTTATAATATAACTTTTAACATATAATCTTTTAATTGACGTAGTTAGGTTTTGATTACGCGTTGAAGAACCCTACTTCTTCTCTTAACACCTTTGCCCGCAAGGAAAGCTAAAAGATTAACCTAAGTAAGCAAAAACAAAAAAAAAAACTGCAGGAGGAAGGAGAGACGATGACAGGTGTTGTGTGTAGCATCCCTCTTGATCTGACGACGGAGATCCTCCTGAGATTGCCATTCGAAATCCCTCTTCAGATTCAGATGTGTCTCGAAGACATGGTGCTCCCTCATCTGTAGCCGACCATTCACAGATGCTTACATGTCTTTGTCTCTGTCTCGACCTCCTCGTTTACTCCTCAGTCTCCATCCTCGTGGTGACAACCGATTGATGTTTTTCTTCTCCTCCTCATCTGATCAAAGTTTAATTCTTTCAACAATGGTAGTAGTGAAAAACAACACCTTAACGATGTCAAAAGTCGGATCTAAAGATTTCATCGTACAGAGAAATTTCGTACGTGGATTCGTTTGCTGCTCCCTCACTCGTCGTTACGTGGTATGTAATCCAAACACAAGACAAGTCATACCCATTCCCGAAGACTACAATCTTGTTGGTTACACAACACCACTTTACATGTACTTGGGATACGACCATATCAAAGATCAGTATAAGGTATTGCGCGTCAAGATGAGGACTTCCTCTACTTCACCTATTTTACACAGTGTATGGACACTGGGAGGTTCCTCTTCCTCATGGAGGCGCATCGAAAGTAGTATCCTTTATTACTGTTGTGAATATAATGGGGTATGCATTGACGGGGTTGTTTATTACGAAGTTTGCTTGGAACCATATGGTAACTATATGGTAGTGAGTAGCTTTGATGTTGCTTCCGAGCAGATTCGTCTGATTAAAACACCTGAAAATATGGTAGCAGCTTACCTGACAAACTACCTAAGAAAGTTAGCTTCTTATGGTTTATCTGATTATGATGATGGGTTTATTTTGTGGGTTATTGATGATGTTAAGAATCAATTTTGGTCAAAACGGGCATGCATATTTTCTTCTATTACCCATTCCTTGCTTTTGGATATAGACATGTATTTTTCTGGGATAACTGCTGCTGGAGAGATCGTCGTCTATGTTCTGTGGACATCTTCTTCTTGTGATCCTTTCGAGCTTTTCTTCTACCATGTAGAGAGGAAAGCGAAAAGAAGAGTTCAAATTGAAGGATTCGCAGGTGATGAGGTTACTTGTTTTGCCTCCCTCTCATGCAACTTTGTCGAGAATATTATCTATCTGTAGAGAATTCCTCTTCTTCATGATGGGGATTAGGTGTTGTACTCAGTAAAATGTCTTTATTTTTTTTGCCTGTCTAATATTGGCTATACTATTATCTATTTGTAGTTTTATTAAATAATTGTTAAAAAAAAAGTAAGCAAACATAAATCAACATATCCATTATTCATGTTTTCTTGGCCATCTTCCATATAAATATGATTTCAACATATCTCTCTTCTATATTTTTTATAGATAGTAGGTGATTGATTCACTGAACTTGAGGTCTCTTGGATATTCGGTCTTTTTGCCCACTATCCAGAAGGACCAGAACCAACATTCATATTTCCATTCAAACAACATATCCATTACACATTGTCCAAAGAATATGGCACAAGTGGGTATAAAACATATGGAACATGATAAGATACTTTGCATTGTAACGTTCTGTTGCCAATCAATATACTACTTATTTGAGATATTTAGATACAAGAAAAACAGAAAAAGGGAAGGTGAAAAAAGTTTAAAGACAAGATATTTACGGAATTTAAACGACCGTCTTTGTCAGTGCAATGAACATTTTTCTCTTATCACTCCCACCACCCAACTAACACATCTCAGAACGTACACGTCACCCTCTCTCGTTCACCCCGTTGCGGGGTTCAGTCACAGAGGTTCCATAACAGTATCTAAACATTAGAAAATACGAAAAAAAAAATTGGTGAGGTAAAGACTCATCCAAGAAACTCAAAAGGGATACTTTGATATATGGCATGTTCTAAATATCGGCCGCCTAGCCGTCTAGATGATCGTTTAGCCGCCTAATCTATTTCTTATTTTTTATTTTTATTCTTTTTTAATAATTTTATCTATTTATTTGATCTAAAAATTAATAAATATAACTTATAATAATAATTTTGATGAAATTTATATCATATTAATTTTATATATTCTAGTTGTGTGTTTTATAAGATTTTATACATGAAAATGTATTAATGTTATACACAATTAAAGATTAACATATTTCATAACATATTAAATAGTCTAAAAATTCTACACTGTTTAATCTCCGATTTTCTCTCTAGGCGCTAGGTCCAACCGTGCTATCCGACTAGCGCGTTCCCGAACATGGGATGTATGTGTTGCATTATTATCAAAATTCAAAATTCTAGGTTTTGTTGTTAGCTCTACTTCATACAAAAATAATTGATCCTTTGTTCAATGTTTTTGGTTTTAAGTTTGACCAAAAAATGGTATTCAAGATAGAATTTTAAATAATTAGACGTATAATGAAATTAGGTATTTTCCTGCACCATGTACAACGATTATTTTAAATTATATTTAATAATATATATGTAATATATTTAAAATTCAAATCTTAGAATTTTTTTATCTATTTGTTTTGGTTAAATGTATTAAATCAACTTGTATAAAATTATTAAGAAAATTCATATAAAATTGTACAGTTATTAAAAATTATAAGTAAAGAATATTTAGAAAAAATTCGATATCAAAAAGAAACTAACAATAATACGATTAAAAATTATTATTTTTCTTAAAATATTTAAAAAATATTAGAAAGAAAAATTGTATAATTAAAAAGTAAAATTAAATAACATTTCGAAATTTATAATGCATATTTCAAAATATTTATTTTTAGAAATAATTTGATTTATGAGTTATTATTATATTTTAAAAAGTTTATTAAAAATATAAATCAACATTAAATGTAATGTATCATTTAATGTAATATTCTATAAAGTTTACCAAAATGTACAATAAATGTAATTATTTATATTATATTTAACTATAAGTTATGTCATCCAGAATATGTATTAAATCATTTCGCAATAATATATAGGGAATGTTTCTCACTATATTCTAATTATTTAGATATTTTTCCGGTGCTGAACAAACAAAAAAAAAATATTTTGCCGGTGCTCTTCCATTTTTTTAGAATACAAAATATCCAATTCTTTCCTTATCTTATTGGATAAAATATTGTAATCAGAATTGTGTTTATAGCCTTTTGAAAAACACATTTGTATATGAACTAGGTGTTTTGCCCGCACTTGCGGGCATAATTCTCTTATGAATATTTATTAGTTGATGTTTCATAATTTATTACTTATGTTTTTAAAAAGTACAAATCAAACATCAAATAATTATAAATAACAGAACTCAAACATCAGAAATATATTTTAAAAATATATCTCTACAGTTATTTTGTTTGATTTATATTTAATTATAATATTTAAACAAATATTTTTACTTAATTTATATTTAATTAGAATTTTTATATTTTAGTTTTAAACTTTATAATAGAAAACATATTTTCAAGATAACAATATAATGCATAATTTATTTACTTTGTAAAAATATAATATGATAAATTCGTTTTAATTATATAATAATTATATAAAATTATAGAAATGATGACATATAATTAAAATTATTTAAAATCATGGACAACTTAACAAATCAGCAAATTCACTTCTTAAATAATTTTGCTTGAGTGATGATTTATATTAAATTAATAATAGATAATTTTTCTATTTTACTTTTAAATTATATAATATAAAATATATTTTTGAGATGACAACATAATACATAAGCATTACCTTTATTTTATAAAAGTATAATATTATTAGTGTAAATTTATTTTAATTATAGAATAAATACAACTTTATATATCTTAATTTTAAATTTCTAATAGAAAAATATATTTTCATGACGACAACATAATGTATAAGAATTATCTTATTTTCTAAAAATCTGATAATATTAATATAATTTTGTTTAAATATATAATAAATTATATATAAAATTATAGAAATTATGATAAATTATCAAAGTTACCTAAAATCATGGAAAATATGAAAAATCAGCAAACATCAAATTCACTTGTTAAATAATATTGTAGATTATTTACATGTTAATTTTAAATTTTATACTAATAAAATATATTTTCAAGATAACAACATAATACATAAGAATTATCTTATTTTAAAAAAATATAATTATTAATATAATTTTTTAGTTATATAATAAATATAATAATTTTATATTGTAATTAATAGAAAAATATAGTTCAAGATAACAACGTAATTCAGAAGAATTATCTTATTTTCTAAAAATATGATATATTCATATAAATTCGTTTTATTTATAAATAAATTATAGATAAAATTAAAATTTGAGAAATAAACAAAATTACCTAAACTTAAGGAGAATATGACAACTAAGCAAATTTACTTCTTAAATAATAGTATAGATATGATGTTTGAATTTTTTTTAGTCAAGTTAGAAGTTACAATAAATTCGGATTAACTTGTGTTTATCAGAAACAAGTATATTGTAAACGACAAGACTTAGATCAGAGCGTTCAACTATTAGTGAAAGTCATCTAGTAAAAATAGATAAAAATCATTAAACTTGAGAACCTAAATCAAATTAGGAAAAGCCAACATATTTCGTTTGACAAATAAATAAAATATTTAGTTGAATACAAAAATTAAAATAAAGTATCAGTGTCTTTTATGGATTCATATTTTCAAGAATGAAACATCTCCCCTTATTACAAAAACAAAAAAACTTCACTTTTTGGATAATGTAATATATAAATATATATATATATATATATATATATATATATATATATATATATTCCAGTTAGGTTAACATAATAAATAGTAGCAGATTTGAAGGGATTGTTGTGTTTGCCTACCAAGTTCCTCTTTCGTTCCTTCTTTCTCTTTTTATGTTAAGAAGGCACTTGAAAGTTTCAGAAGAAGAAACGATGAGTTTTCTTTTCAACTCTTTTAGGTAGCTGAAATCTAGAAATGTTTTTTGTTGTGAAAATTAATTGAAGAGAGAATATAGAATATTGACGATGTTTTTTTTTTTCTTGAGAAAGAAACCAGAAAATAAATTAATCTACAGAATATTTTAAGAGGTTGTAACGAGTTACCCACAATAGAGGAAACCCTCATTGAAATTTCAATACACACATCTTTGTTTTTCTTTTGATGTGTGGTGATTTTTCTTCCCGGGAAAAACTCTCTAACGGTTTCATGTGGTAGTTAAAGCTCTTATTTGTTTTGGGAGAGAGAGAGAGAGTCATGGTTTTCTTGTTCTGTATAGTTTCTCATAAAGTTGTTTTCTTTTAAAACCAATAAAAAAAAAAGCTTCAACCTTTTTTAACCATTGAAAGCCAAACTCAGAGTTAAGGTTCCATCAATGGAGGAAGTATCTCCAACGGTTGCTATGCCATTCATACCTTTCCCAGAAACCCAGATGGAACTCGCGGGGATCATGTTGGGTAAAGGTTACTGCAACGGTCAATACTCAACTCAAGATTCCGACAACGAAGATACTAGACCGGAGACGACTTCATGCTCTGTTTCTGAGTCTAGGAAAGTTTTGTCCTCTCGGATCAATTCTCCCAACTTCAACATAAAGAATCAATCAGCTGATATCGCCGCCGGCTCAGATGAGAGATCGACGGTTGAGAAGAAGATGATCAGCAGAACAGAGAGTAGGACTCTGTTCGAGTTCAAGAATGTGTCATTGTACGGTGTGACTTCAATCTGTGGAAGGAGACCAGAGATGGAAGATGCTGTCTCAACAATACCAAGATTCTTTCAGTCTCCGACCAATCCTCAGTCCACCGCTCATTTCTTCGGTGTCTACGACGGTCACGGCGGTTCTCAGGTAACAAAATCAATCCATCTCCTCTGTATATTACAAAAATATGTGACTTTGATTTGATTGAGATCTTTGTGTTGTTGTGTTGTGTAGGTAGCGAACTATTGTAGAGAGAGGATGCATGTGGCTTTAGCGGAGGAGATAGAGAAGGAGAAGCCGATGCTATATGACGGTGACACGTGGCAGGAGATGTGGAAGAGAGCTTTGTTCAACTCTTTCCTTCGCGTTGACTCAGAGATCGAGTCAGTGGCTCCGGAGACTGTGGGGTCAACGTCGGTAGTCGCTGTTGTCTTCCCGACTCATATCTTTGTTGCGAACTGCGGTGACTCTAGAGCCGTTCTTTGTCGTGGCAAAACTGCGTTACCTTTATCCACTGATCACAAGGTAAGTAGCATATACATTCTCATACATATGTATTAGTTCTTTAGCTTCATAGGTTTTTGATTCTTGATTTGTAAATGTATGTATGTAGCCGGATAGAGAAGATGAGGCGGCGAGGATTGAAGCCGCGGGAGGGAAAGTGATCAAGTGGAACGGTGCACGTGTGTTTGGTGTTCTAGCCATGTCAAGATCCATTGGTAAGCTTTCTTTAACTAAGAATCAATGATTCTTGAAATAGAAACTTTTTTTTGTTCTTACAATCATGTATATCGTGTGATTGACAGGCGATAGATACTTGAAACCGTCGATTATTCCTGATCCGGAAGTGACGGCTGTGAAGAGAGTTAAGGAAGATGATTGTCTGGTACTAGCGAGTGACGGTGTTTGGGATGTAATGACTGATGAGGAAGCGTGTGAGATGGCGCGGAAGCGAATTCTCTTGTGGCACAAGAAGAACATGGTGGCCGGAGATGCGTCGTTGCTGACGGAGGAGCGAAGAGGTGAAAGAGAAGATCCGGCGGCGAGGTCTGCAGCTGAGTATTTGTCAAAGCTGGCTTTGCAGAGAGGAAGCAAAGACAATATAACTGTGGTGGTGGTTGATTTGAAGCCGCATAGGAAACTCAAGATCAAAGCCATGACTTGAGACAGAGGGTCCTTTTTCTATCTTTTATCAATGAATATAGGTCTCTCAAAGAAACAAAATTATAATTTTAAAATTAACATGTTATAATCATGTAAGATAATTAGTAGCTTTAAGTGTTAAGCTCTTTGTCTTAACGTCCTAAAAGCCCCTTGTTTTTTTCCTCCGGGGCTAATTGTAATATGGTTACAATATACATATAGCATCTTAGTATCATCTGTTTATATCCAAATAATTTATAAATATTTTTCATTTCCAAATGGAAAGATAATTTACTCTCTATCCAAACAAATCTCTCATTTATGCTAGTGGATAGAAAACATAGTTTGGTGATAAAAGGGATGTTCATAATTGGTTCTAGATGGTAGCAACTAGCAAGTGGGGGAATCAAAGATCCTGCGTCTGTGAAGTAGGACGAGCGGTTCGCATCAGAATCTTCAAACATGTTCACGAACTTGTGTTCCTAAATCACCAGCAATAACAAAAAAATGACATTAAACGTAATTCACATGATGAAAGAGACTTTTGTATGATTACGCACCAAAAGTTCCGTTGATGATTTTATGTACACTACACAAGTTACATAATAAACTAGCATTTCAAGTGTCTACTCGTTACGGATAAATAAGATGAAAATGTGTCTCAGTACCATAGTGAGATACTGAGATGAAGGAGCAAAACTCTGGAGAAAACAGATGAGAGATGCACGTGGAGGGGTGTATGGAAACTTACTCGTTGCACTTTCAAGAAGAACCAGCCCCAAGCTCCAAAAAGCACACTTGTTTGTTCCTTTAAAAACCGGCGTCCTTCTCTCAGGCTAAAAAAGCATATCACTCTTGTTCATATAAACTCTTTTTAAACTCTGGAAACATAGTATGCGTGTTCAATGACAATGAGTGTTTAATGATAATACTAGTCTTTATGATTTATGTTTTTGAAGAAACAGTCTTCTGGTTGTAAAATCTTTATTTTATCTTTTCTTAAAATCGTCTAAAAAACAATTTGCATAGCTTGACAGGTTGTGTAATATTAACTAACCAAACAAGCTAATACTATATATGCATTTAAATAGTCATGATAGTTAGATAAACACCAAATGGAAGAAATCAACAAAAACGAAGTTAAACGTGAAGTGTTGGCAAGGGATATCGAGTTGGACTTACTTAAATATTTGTTGTATCTATACGTTATTCTGTTTATTTATAAAGTTATATATATATCCCCTTCTTATTATTTGAGGAGAACTTTTGACAATAAACCTTTTGTTCATGTGTTATTAACCATTATGCCATTACTTATGTGGCATCACCACAATTCACCTCATTGCCTTTTTAGAATAACCCTTTCTTAACTAGACATATTACATTTCATGCCATTGAGATCAAATCTATACTTATTCTTTCATTTTATGTATCATGTACTTCTATGTATTTATTATTAATGAATATTCGAACATTACTCCATTCCGTTTTTGACAATGGTATTAAACATTCGTATAAGACATTTTTTTCATCAAGACAGCAATGGTATTACATTCATTAAACATTCATATAAAACGTTTTTTTTTCATTACAGTGGTATGTTATGTAACTTTATAAAATATTCTGAATATTGAATAAAAGATTGTTATCGTATTTGACAATGGTATTAATCAAATATGTAACTTTATAATATAAGTAAGGAATGTAGAATAAAATACGTATTTATAAATCTAAAATATAATATTTATATTATTTTTTAAAGATTGAATTAATAAATACCTCAGAATAAATGTTGTCTTGATGAAAAACACAATCTTCAAAAAAATAAAAATGTAATGAATATTACCCATTATATGTAATATGTAATGTAACTTTATAATATATTCCGAATATTGAATAAAAGATTGTTATCGTATTTGAAAATGGTATTAATCAAATATGTAACTTTCTAATATAAGTAAGGAATGTATAATAGAATACGTATTTATAAATAGAAAATATAATATTTATATTATTTTTCAAAGATTGAATTAATAAATACCTCTGAATAAATGTTGTCTTGATGAAAAAAAATACAATCCACAAACAAATAAAAACGTAATGAAGAAAATTTTACTGATGAAAATACGGCTGAAAAATAACTATTAATGATTTTTAATTTAAACATAATCAATCAACATTTTCAATATTTGCCGCTTCATACAATTACTTTGGAAATCTTTAGAATCGGGAAATTTATAAGTATGAGACTAAAAAGAATTTAAACCACACGGAAAAATTTTAGACACAAAATTAATATTATGAGTTATATTATATGAAAGTCAATCACCTATTTTAAGTAAGTCAATCACGTATTTTTCAAATTAGCCGAACAGTTTAATGCTCTCTTTCCGTATCAAAGTCAATCACGTATATAAAATATTCTGAATTAAATGAGAGACGCCTAAATTGGTGCTTGCTTGATAGAGAAGCACAAATCGTTGTGAATATACTAAACTAATGTTTCAGATCAGTCGAAGTCTCTAAGGTTAATGGTATGAATCAAATGTTTAACTTTATAATATAAGTAACACATTATATTTAAAAAATAAATATTTGTAAATTTAAAATAGAATATTAATCATTGATCTATATAATTACCAATTATATAACTTTATAATAGAATTTTTAATGTTGAATAAATATTTTATGTAGTTATCGTATTTGACAAATGGTATTAATCAAATGTTTATTATAATGTAAATTCCAGTAAAAATATTATTGACATATAAATAAATGTATATCAAACTATATGTTATCTTTGTCATGTTATATATATATATATATCTATATATATATCTACATATAAAAAATCACTTTGGAACATGTTTTTATATTGAAAAAGATCTAAAGGATTATTGTTTCCTATAATACTATAAAATCACAATCATGTCCTTATGATAATGGTCAAACTTGATATAAATGATAATTAGCCGAAATTATGTCATTATGATTTCTATAATACATTATGATTCTTATAATACATATTATTTTTCCTATAATACATATAAAATCACAATCATGTCATTATGATAATGGCCAAACTTGATATAAATGGTAATTAGCATAAATTATGTCACTAATTTATTCACTCAAAATGATTATATTCCAAAAAACTATAATTAAATTTGCTTCCTATTTTGAATAGTTTTGCCAATTAAATTCAGAGACAATATCAATTAGTGATTCTACACATAAATATTATCAATCAGAAGATATAAAACTAGGGTAAATTATCAACCATAATCGTAAATATATCAAATATGGTTAGTTACTAAATATATCAAATATAGTTAGTTACATACTCTTTCTGTTTCACTATAATCCATGTTTTAGAAGAAAAAAAATGTTTCTAAAGAAAATAGATATTTCACATTTTCAATACATTATTTCTGATAGGATATAAAAATTATTATATGATATCTAAAAAAAATTTGTTTTCTCAAACTAAACGTAAATTATATTTCTGAATAATATTTTTTTTAAGGGTTATGTGGGTTTTTAGTAATAAAACCCCTCAACTAAAGATGGATCGTAAAAAAAACCCTCAACTAAAGATTTAGTGAAATAAACCCTCAACTTTAGTTTTGTTAATGTTTGTCACCCTCCGTCACAGAATTTCTGACGGAGGGTGACATACGTTAACAAAACTAAAGTTGAGGGTTTATTTCACTAAATCTTTAGTTGAGGGTTTTTGTTACGATTCATCTTTAATTGAGGGGTTTTATTAATAAATGCGGTTAAATATTTTAAAATCTTTATTATCATTTATTCATTATTTAAGAATATTAAAATTGATTTATACACATTGAAAATAATTTATATTTTTATATATTACTTTATCAATTTTATAACCTATTTATAAAGTTTTCTCATTGAATACTTTTTATAAATTATTATTAAATTTTAATGATGATTTTATAAGATTAAAGATGTGATAATTCGTCATACTACAAAAACATGAAGTAAATAAATAAAACAAGAAAAGCTTATTGATTAATATGGTAGGAGTATAACATATTGGTTCAGAAATTAAAAAGAAGAAAAACAATCCTACATTATTTCTTCTGAAATAGAAAAAAAATACAAATCAAATTGAAACTGTTTAAAAGAGGAGAAAAAAGTCCTTGCCATATTTTAAGTAACAAGGTTGAATTTCTAAACTAATTAAATATCCTCAACATTACCTACAATTTTATATAACTTAGAAATCTTAATTATTTGATATTTGATAGTATTAATATAAGAAAATTGTATGTGTTTCCTCCTTTATAAACCTTTATCGGTTTACTTCGTAATTTCAAGAAAAATCATTTATTATTTCATCCTAAGAAATAGCAGACAAAAGCTTATAAAATCATCGTTAAACCTTATTAATAATTTATAAAAATATTAAAATATTTACTAAGCTTTATAAATAGGTTAAAATTTGATAAAGTAATATATGAAAAATTATAAATTATTTTCAATGTTTATCAATCAATTGTAAGATTCTTAAATAATAAATAAATGATAATAAAATTTTAAAATATTTAACTATATTTAGTAATAAAACCCCTCAACTAAAGATGAATCGTAAAAAAAACTCTTAACTAAAGATTTAGTGAAATAAACCCTCAACTTTAGTTCTGTTAACATATGTTACCCTCCGTCTAAAATTCTGTGACGGAGGGTGACAAACATTAACGGAACTAAAGTTGAGGGTTTATTTCACTAAATCTTTAGTTGAGGTTTTTTTTTTTACAATTCATCTTTAGTTTGGGGGTTTTATTACTAAAAACTTTTTTTTTTAAAACTATAATATTTCTAATACATCGTTTGTTTCTCAAACTAATGAAATATATGTTTGAAACAAACTTACTAAGAATTTTTTTTCTCATGCTACTGAACCTTATAATTCTCTAAAATTTGTAGTAAATTTCAAAGAATCCCTTCAATTAAGTTCCATGATTTTTTTTTTAAGTATTGAATAAACATAAATGGTGATGCACAAGTAGTTATTGTTGATCTATGGTCAAACATACTTGGTTTATGGTCAAATAATATAGTAAATCAACACTTTCCGAATTTTCCAAACATTAAGAACGTAATATTGGAAAATTTAAAATTATTCATTTGAAACTCAAATCTTGTGTGTCTAAACCCTAAGTTTGATGACTATATATATATCAAACTAAAGTTATTTCTACAGAATCACAACCAACCTAAAAAACAAAAAAAATGTGATACCAAGAAAAAAAAAAGTTATGTGAAAATAATTAATTTACATAAAGCAATTGTTCGAAAACCTAAAAGTGAAGTTTTAATTGATTTCTACAAACATGTTCATTTGAAATTATGTCTTTGTAAATAGTTTTATTAATATTACATCTTATATTGATCTTTGCAAACAAGTTCACTGGAATCAAGTGTATCGACTATGTAACTAACGCTCAGGATTTAGATTTTTAAACCTCCACGGATGCTCATGTTGTGTTATGTGTTTTAAGTTTATGATCCATTGAGTGGGAAGAAGGTATTTTACCTTATAACTCTTGCACACACACACACACACACACACACACACACACATATATATATATATATGTATATATGTGATACAAGTTATTTAGTTGGTCATTTTAAATATATAATTAGAAGATATTTGAATGATGTTCTCACATTTCGTTTGATCCTGAACTTCCAATGATAGAAGTTCTCAAAAAGAAAAGAAGTAAGTATACATGAACATTTTAATGTTTCTTGATTAATTTATCTTGATGTTTACTTACATAAGTTAAGAGGACTAGAAGACTAACTTTTGAGGATTCCAATCAGTGTTTTTTGATGGGATACATGATATTTTCATTTAATTTATGTTTTTATTTTCTGAATATAAAGATTTCTGCTATGTATATTTTCATTCTTAGTTAAAGGTTTTCTTAACATTCAATGATTCTATAAATATATAAGTAATTGTTTAAATATATAAATGTACATTATTAGTTTTAAATAGTCAAAATATATCATATACACAAATATATTACAATTATTTATTTTATTATTATCATCATACTTTGATTATGAAAAGAATAATTATATTTTTATGTTTTATTTTTCATAAATTATTTAATAAATTAATAAAAGTCTTTCTTTACTCTGAATTTTTTTTCCATATAAACACTTCAATCAAAGGACATATCCAATACACAAACTTTGCTCTAACAAAAAATACAAATAAACTTATATTGTATTATCTTACACATTTTAATAATGACCTCTTTCCGTCACTCACTCCGCGCTGGGCGCGGGTCAACACCTAGTATATATATTATTACGTATAAAACACTGTCGTACTCTAAACCCCAAAAAACTGCGTAAATACATTTGGGAATAAAAATATATTTGAAGAGGTTTTAATTTGAGAAAACAAAAACGATTAGTAGTTAAAAGCTAACTAGCTGTTTTATCCACACATGCGGACATAATAATTTTACAAATATTTTTAAGAGTTACACATTATTTATATATAAAATAATTGTTTTGAAAAATTTAGTTAAATTAAATATTAATTTTTTCACATATGAAAAGGTTTTATAATATAATACAATTATCTTTTATCGCGTAAAATAAATTTGAAAACATTAATATATACATAAAATTATAACAATATATATATAGAATCATCTTTTATAGTTTAAATTTCTTAACAAAATTCTAATGTAAAGCTTTTTTTCTTGAATAACACAAACATAAAATATTTTAATAGAATGACAATTATCAAATCAAATCTATATTTTTAATTCAGGGTTAATAATATTTTAATAAATATAACTATTCATTAAGTCATTAAAGACTTTATAACATAATATAAATTATTTTAGATAATGATAATTATCAAATTAAGGAAATTTGTTTTTAATTTATGGTTAATTTTATATTAATTTAATTTTAGTTCATTTTTAATCAATATAAATGATTTTTAGATAATGATAATCATCAAATCAATAAATTAATTGTATATTAGCTCATTTTTAGCTTATGGTTAATTTTATATTAATAAATCTAATTACAAGTTGTAGTTAATGATTAGTCAAAATCGTAAAAACATAGCAAATAAACAAAATTAACTAAAATTATGGAGAAAATGATAAATTAGTAAATTTATTTTTGAAATAATAGTTTAAGAAAATTAATTTATGGTTACTTATATATTAATTTAATTTTAGTTTATGGTCAATTAATATAAACTATTTTAAGATAATGATAATAATCAAATCAATAAATTTTTTTTAGTTTATGATTGATTATATATTAATTAAATCTTAGTTTATGATTAATTATATATTAATAAATATAAGTAGTTATTAAATATAATAATTAATCATTAGTTAAAATCATGAAAATACAATGAAACCTTTATAAATTAATAATGTTGGGATTACACCAAAATTATAGTTATTTATTAATTTATAGAAATTATTAAATTATTCGATATACAAATTGAACAAAAAATTTATTTTGAGATTATAAAATTATATTATTTGAGAAAGATTTTTAGTATATATAGTTTAATAGATTCTTAATTTAAAGAAGTTATAGTGTATAACAAATCAGCAAATTCATAGTTATAGATATATGAGATGGTGAATACATACCTAAACCAACAACTAAAAAAAATATGATTAAAGATAATCAAGAATAAATATTGCTTTGCTTGCTTATGGATTAGAATAATTAGCAAAAAGCAGAAAAGAGATGAACTTTGGGGGTTAGGCAAAAGAAGGAAAAAAAAAAAAGTCTCACCTTTGAGTCTGACCTCAGAGACTTGGTTTCTTCTGCTCTCTCCGCATTTAACGCTTTCGACGTTGAAGCAGCACCAGCAGCCGTAGAAGAAGAAGAAACCAAGACGACTCTCTCCTTTCTTCCAGGTTCCCCTTTGCAATCAACCTCATCTCCAATCACAGAGATTCATTTGTTGGTTTCTTGTATTAGCTCTTTTGTTACAGTCTGATCTGGACTCTGTCTGTTTCGTTTTCTCATGGTGTTTGAATCTATTGATCTCTGTCTTTTTTCGAACCTTTGAGAATTCATATTGTTGCTGTTTTTGTTTGTTTGTTGTTGAAGGCTAATTTGAAGATCTTGTGGGTCACAAAACTCACAAGCAAGAGCTTGACGTTCATCGACGCTCCTCTACTCAACAACATATGGCAGAAGAAAGTAATTATCTTCTTCCCGTTTTAATCTTCTTTGGTGATTCTTTGTTAGTAGAATAAAAGCTTTTTTCATCCAAAATTAGGGGAACAAAGTAGGTTTAATTTGTGTTCAAAAAAAAAAAAAAAAAGTAGGTTTAATTGATTATTCACGAGTTTTGATTTGAGAACATGAACATGGCTTTGAGATGGGACAGCGTTGACTCTCACTTTTCTTTGTGTTAAGCTTTTATAACTAAACAAGAAATAAAGATGTAAGATTTTGTTAGGGTTGTTATATGACTCGGTCTCAATCATTTGCTGAATTAGAAATGATTAAACCAAGAGAATTGGTTACTGGATTGTGTTGGTTAAGCTCTTGGAAGATCGTAGACTCATAATCTTGTCCTAGTGATTATTTTCAAGTGGGGGGAGTACTTTGAATTTTGATGAGTTTTTTCATCAGTTTGGATTTAATCTACTCCATTGTTTGTTGTAGATGTTAAAGAGCGTGGAGATGGAAGTGCAGAGCTGGTGAAATCCAATGGTGATAAGCATGCCAGTGTTATAAGACCAGCTGCTAGATACTACTCTGCTATTAAAGGTATCATCACCATTCACCACAAGCTCTTCCTCATTGCATTTTACAAACTCTTTCCCAAAATGTAAAACCCTTTAAAGTCTGTTCGAAGTGTGGAACTCATGCAGTTTTTGATTCTTTGTGTGATAGATGCTATGGTTTGTGGGAAAGGAAGATATACGCTTGTTAAAGACGTGGATGATGTGGAAAATGGAGCTTATGACAAACCTCTCCCATGCTTTGGTTGTGGAATCGGATGGTTCTCGTGAGTAGAATCTTTTGTTTTGTTTTTGGTGTTAAGTCTCCAGTTCTATTTTTTACCAGCTGATATCTCTCATGTTACAGTTTCCTCCTGGGTTTTGTGTTCCCTTTCTTGTGGTACTATGCCACATTTCTCTATTTCGGAAACTACTACCGCAAGGATCCTAGAGAAAGAGCCGGTCTTGCTGCGTCCGCAATCACTGTAATGACTCTCTCCCTCTCTCTCAACCCTCTCTTCTTTACTATTTAAGCTTCCAACGAAATGATGATGAGATCTTGTGATGTTGCAGGCGATGGGATTCTCCCTCTTGCTACTGGTGATTGTTCTTTTCAGATGGTTTTAACTACTTCTCACGTATACACCACACCATACTCTTGAGCTTATATATGTGTGTAAAATCTTGGTCCCATCCTTGTCAAAGGATTTATAGAGGAGGAGGGACTTAGATATGTGTCTGTACATTCAATATAAACCCAAAGTGCAGATATTATTATACCTCATCTTTACTAAAGCTATGTATTATTTTCTTCTCACAGTCTACATTGTACAAAAAGTAACAGAAAATAAATAAGAAACAAATAAATGGTTGCTTGTCTCTTTCTTGAACTGATGAATGTTTTCTGGTAATTAACAAAACCAACAGATGTGAATTAGTAGAGCAAACCGAGTAGAAATTGGTTTAATAAAAAAGTCTAAACCAATTTAAGGTTCACGTGCGAAAGGCTCGCGTGTAAGAAAAAAAAACAAAACAAAACAAAACAAAGCTTCTCATACGGTCGCGGTTGTTTTCAGAGAAGAGACAACAAAGATGAACAAAAAGTTTGGGGGGATGAAACCGACGGGAACTCCGTCTCTAGCGTTGTCAACTTTCGTCGTTGTAGCTTCACTGCTCGCCGGAGCCTCCGTTGTACACAATTTATACAAGCCAGATCTCGTAAGTTGTATTCTTTTTAACAATGCATGTAAGGCGTTCGATGTAATGTCGGGATGATCTGATAATCATTTTCTCTTTCTTTTTTTTTAAACCTTCGTTGCAGACATTACCGCAGATAGAAAGTGATGAAGTAGACAAGAAGTAAGAATCTGGAAACAAAGATTATAATCTTTCTTCTTGTCGTTTCTGGTTAGTTACATGTCTGGTTTTTTCTTTTAAATACTTCAAAACTCCTTTGGGTTCGGGGGTTATGTCTTTGAGACCTTTTTTTCTGTTATGCAATGAATAAGTCCACTTTGTGGTCAACTACTTTGTGATCCATCCAAGTGTATGTGATTGCAACTTTGCAGTTTACATGACTAAAAGGCGATTCCTCAACTCTGTCTAGTACATATTTATATACACAATATAGATTAGGCTAACAAACCTCAAGAGTTTCCATTATGGTAACGTCAAAATCCCTTAATCAATACTATACAAACTCTAAACGCACAGGATAAAGAGAAAACATGAAATTGTGACAGTGACCAGATCTGTCCTGTAAAGCATATTGAAATCTGAAAGAAACAAAAATAGCACCTCCATTTACATTACACATTCTCAACTACACTGGCTCTCTAGCACTCCTATTTTAAAAAAAAAAACTCGAAACAACACAGCAAAACGATTCACAAAATGTAACTGCTGTAGCCATTAACATCGGAAGCTGGCCTATACTCCGTTTCATAAGTTTGCCCAGGCAGCTGAGAGTATGATGTTGGTCTGTACTGCACCGTCTCTGTGCCAGTGTAGGAACTCGAGAGCGGCTCTTGACGGTTGCTCAGCTGAGGAGGATATACAGCAGGTACATAGCCAGTGTCGCCTCTAGCATATCCCCCAGAAACCGAAGCTGGTTCCTTGTGATTGCTGATGAACTCTACACACACATAAACAACAAAAATGTATGCAAATTAAGTGTAATCTTTAGCATTTTGACGAAAAGTATATTTACATGGAATGCGTTCTTACTTGAATTAGTTGCTGAGCAGTTTGTAATTGAGAAGAGGTGCCTTTGATTTCCACAGTGATTTCATCAGGATGTGGACTCTCTTGAATGGTTACGATAGCTCCGCTTCGTCCGCGGATGTAGGCTTATATTAGCTCCTTCTAAACCAATAATATCCTCCGCATAAGAGAAGGGTATTTGCATCGTGTGAGATACCTGGTAAAAAAAACCATAACAGAAACGTCTTTACTAGTTCAAAGATAAGCTTAGATGCTGTATCCAATGTAAGAACGTTATAACACTAAACATTTTGAGGAGACGATACTGTAATTCAATGGGATCTACCTGTGTAACAAAAGCAGCAGAAACACGAGCAAGGGTGGCAGACAGTACAGGATCTTGATTGTAGATAGAAACTGCTGAAGGCAGAGGTTCCCTTCGTGCTAATAAGGATAAATCAGAGTCCATTACATTAGACGAAATAGCATGAAGAGATGACTTGTTTTCAGCTAACGGTTCTTCCTGACGAACTTGAGAGACTCTAGCTAAGTACTAAAGATGAAAGAAGCAAAAAATTAGATAATTCAGAAAAGAACAAAAAAAAAGAGAGACAAACCAGTTGTTTCAGACAACTAAAAAGCTTTCATACGGTCGCGGTTGTTTAAAGAAGAGACAACAAAGATCAACAAAAAGTTTGGGGGGGGGGGGGGATGAAGCCGACGGGAACTCCGTCTCTAGCATGTAAGGTGTTCGATGTAATGTGGGGATGATCTGGTAATCATTTCTCTTTCTTTTGTTTTTAACCTTCGTTGCAGACATTACTAGGATTGTCAAACAAGCCTTCCCGTCCCGTTTTAAAAGACATTCGATAGTATAAAAGTCAGTAGTAGTAAGAGACTGGAATAGGTCAGTGAGGGTATTAATCAAGTGGACCTTAGCAGAACGGAACCTTAAGGTAGTGGACTAGTGGTATGCAAGGCTGCAATATTGTGAACACTACGTACAGCTAGTCCCCACAAAATATATGAAGGTAGGCTTGACTCCGAAGGACGTCCAAGATCTCCAGAGCCTTTTGATCATATAAGTATTTTTGTCCGGGTTTTAATTAAACCTTTTGATGAGAGGAGTATATGAAATTTTAAGGTTACTTTATTGTTGCAATCGAATTGAACAAAACTCATTCATGGATAGTAGTAAATTCCACTAAAATAGAACACTGGATTTAAAATGATAGCATGGGAAAGCAAAAAACACCTATAGCATTAATGAAGCAAACAAATGAGCAACAACCATCTAAATTAAGTGAAGCTAGAGAGAATTTGGAGTAGGCCAATAAGGGAATTCAGTTCTCGTCACTGGACCGTAATAGTTTTTGTGGAAGGTAGTGCAAGTTTTGGTGGTGAGATCATACACACCAAAGTTACGACCCACAAAATAGACGCAGTTAGGCTTGAGTCCAGGAGACGAGCTGGCAGGGACGCAGAAAGCCTGGCTATGTCCAAGAAAGATGCAGAGATCTCCAATGTCTTCTGTGTAGATCATAGTCGTATCACAGCAACTAGATTGCTCCTCCTCTCTAAACAACATGATTTTTTTTGTTACATGCTTCAATGTTTTCACCTCGTTGTCATCGTCCTTGATGGATAATGAGTCCTCACCATACCTGCGAAGAAATGATAGAGCCAATAATACTACACCCATCCACTTATATCCCACCAAAAGAATTTTTGAATAGTATCTTAGTATAATTATAATATGTTGAAGAAATAAAAATCTATCTAGTTAATTAGATACTATACCACTTGACAAGGAAAAGTTGGCCGGTCGGTGACTCGACAAGGTGGTCTGTTCTTGAACATGTACTCAACTTCGAAACCTCCTCATACACGGAGGCTGGAAGATCATCAAACTCCAAGTCCATGAACTTGAGTTTGTCTTGCTCCTCTTCCAAATAGCACAAGTAGTTGCCTCCTAGGCTAGGAATGTAGAACATTTTATCTTCTTTGGAGAACATGAGGCTCGACATAGGATTGATAGACCCAGGCGCGTTTTTTATGTCTATCCATTTACAGCTCCCGAAAGGCCTACATAGACTCAACCGAGATCCCGATAACTTGACACACACTACCCAATCTTTCTCTCGTGTAGGTAAAGAGGACATAGCCAGGCTTTGGACTTGTGAACCTGCGGGTAGAGGAGGTAGGTAAGCCGACACGTCTTTGTAATGGATAGTGGGACCCTTGTCCGTAAGTTTAACTTCTAATCCATCACGTGAAAATCCGACAGTCATCGCGTTACAGACGTTCCTCATGACTTTCTTGTCGGTAATGAAGATTTTATTTTCCTTGCGGCAATTTGAATATGCTTTGTTGAGGCCACCTTCCGGAGAGTTTGGGTTCTTGAGGATATGGTCGACAATCAGAAACGGGTAGGGTCGATCAGATTCAGATGTGAATAGACGAACGTTTGTGTGTCTCTACAATATACATGTTGAAGTAGTCATCACAAACAATAATATCAAAAAGTTGAAAGAAAAACCTAATTATTATTACTTATATATTTTCATAGCTAAATGTAAGCTTACGAGGAATTTTCTGGAGACTGAGGGCTTGAATAGTCGATTGGCAATAATATGAGACATTTTTGAAACTCTAAATTCTAAACTGTAAGATGTTCATCTTCATAATACCAATGATAACTTAATATAATACAGAATACGCCTTGGACAACAAGTACCCGCAAACTCTGAATATTTAGAAATAAGTTATTTAAGGAAGTAAATAAATACCTTAAAGAAATGATTACCATAATCCTTATAAGAAATAAATTATAAATTTACATCCATTTAATTAATTGTTTCTTGAGTGCAAGTTTACTTAGCTCTAAACCTTTCTTTGATTAAATTTCCCCCACCTTCCATAAATGAGAGTGTCTTCCCTCTCTTTGAGACTTTTTTCTTTCATTTTACGATTAACAAAATTCGGTTTATGAGAAGTGTTGTGGATCCTTACATTTTGTTATGTGTACATTATCTACTAGTGGTTTCAATGGTGTAATTATGGTTTGGCTTCTGGTTGTAATCATCGGTTTCTTTGGATGGCAATTGGTTTTTATGGTTACTCAAATTATTTTGGGCTGGGAAGCGACATGGTATCAGCATCTAACTTTCATTGCTCCAAGATATAACAAAATATTTTGGTTAATTTTTCATGGCTATAATATGTGCAATATTCCCAAAAGTAAAGAGTTATATTTTAAATTTCAATCCCGATGGTTCGATATTGAAGAGATAAAGGATCTAATTTTATTAGAAATACAGTATTCTTTTTGGCTTATTGTAGGGGAACGATGGGTGTGCTTAATCAAGTTACAACGGGTATACATTATCTTGTATATTGGTGGTGTAATGACAGGGTCGGCATTATACTATGAGAGCATGGTAGCATTTAAAAAAAGAATATTTCTTATGAGTATATTAAGTTGGAATTGTAGAGGTGTTGGGAGTTCGGATACGGTTCAACGGATTAGGGATTTACGACGTCAATGTTTTCCCGATTTTTTTATTTCTAATGAAAACAAAACAAAAGGCTGCTTATATGGATGCTCTAAAATCAAGCTTGGGATATGACTGTTTTACACACGGTAGACCCGATTGGTCGTAGTGGTGGTTTAGCCCTAATATGGAAAGGTTGTTACGCAGTAGATATTATTAATAGTGATAATAGAATTATTGACCTCAAAGTGCAAATGGGTTCCATGGTGTTTTTTCTATCATGTGTATATGGAGATCATGTCAGAGCAAGAAGACGATTTGTCTAGGATAAATTAACGGATATTGGTGTGGTTAGAGATGAGGCATGGGTTCTTGTCGGAGATTTTAATGAACTCATACATAATGGAGAAAAATTGGGAGGTCCTCTTAGAGAAGATACCAATTTCTTTGATTTTCGAAATATGGCTGAGGCATGTAAAATCTGGGAAATGAAGACCACGGGAAATACTCTCTCATGGGCAGGTCGGATGGATCACAACTGGATACAATGTCGTTTAGATAGGAGCTTTGGTAATGATGAATGGTTTCGTCTATTCCTTCAATCGTCTATGGAGTATATGAGTATGTGGCCTTCTGATCATCGGCCCTTACGGGTCGAATTTGCATTAGAACTAGAAAATCTCCAAAGGGGACGTTTTTATTTTGATAGAAGGCTGTATGGTAAAAAAGGTGTAGATGAAGCTATTATGCGAGGATGTGACGTAGAAAACGTTAACTCGAATCTTAGTGTTCTTGATCGTATTGCTCGATGTCGGTCGGAATTGTCCAAATTGAAAAGATCGAATGATTGGAACTCGAAATCAAGGATAGAACGTCTGCAAATTGATTTGGATAAGGAAAGCTCAAAACAATTCCCTATTTATGGTTTGTTACGGAGATTAAGGCAAGATCTGGCTTTTGCATATAGAGAAGAGGAAATATTCTGGAGACAAAAAAGTAGAGAAGAATGGTTACGGGAAGGGGATCGAAATACGACTTATTTCCATAATGTGGTGAAAGGAAAGAAAAAACGAAATAAGATTTTGATGCTTAAAGATATCTTTGGTAATGAAAATTATTCGGAAGGATCTAAAGGCCATATTGCTACAGAATATTTTAGAGATTTATTTACCAGCTCTAATCCAAGCGACTTAGAAACCCTTTTCGATGGTTTTGAAAGTAAGGTTACTTCTGAAATGAATATTACATTAACCAGAGAAGTCTCCTCTGAAGAAATCAAGAAGGCAGCTTTTGATATTAAAAGTAGTAGTGCTCCTGGTGAAGATGGTTTGACAGGTTTTTTCTATCAAAAATATTGGCACATTGTGGGTCAGAAAATAATTGATGATGTTCAAGGTTTTCTTAAAACAGCAATTCTTCCTCCTGGGTGGAATCATACACAATTATATCTTTTACCAAAAATTATATATCCTGCGGAGATGAAAGATATGCGACCTATAAGTCTTTGTAGTGTTCAATATAAGATTATTTCACGCATTTTGTGTGAACGTCTGAAGGTTATTATGCCTGATATAATATCAGAAACACAAGGAGCTTTTGTTGAAGGCAGATTAATCACTGACAATATTATTATAGCTCATGAATTAGTACATGGGTTAAGGACAAACGATAAGATTGGTAGAGAAAGTATGGCTATAAAGATAGATATGTCTAAAGCCTATGACCGGGTCGAATGGAATTTCCTTGAAGTATTACTGGAAAAAATGGGTTTCGATCGTAAATGGGTTGTTTGGATAATGTCTTGCATTACTGCGGTCACTTTTTCGGTATTACTTAATGGACGCTCTCATGGTTTCATTAAACCGAAAAGAGGAATACGTCAAGGAGATCCTCTTTCCCCTTTTCTTTTTATTTTATGTGCAGAGGCCTTGGTACATGTCTTGAATCGAGCGGAATCTTTAGGGAATTTACATGGTATTAAGCTAGCCGCAGGTAGCCCTTCGGTTCACCATTTATTATTTGCGGACGACAGCTTATTGTTATGCGAGGCTTCTATCCGGGATAGTGAGGAAATTATGAAAGGTCTGAAACTTTATGGAGATGCGTTTGGGCAAATGATTAACCCACTTAAATCATCCATCATTTTTGGAAAAAATATAACAGCTGACACAAAACAACCGATCAAAAGTGTTTTGGGGATTGATAAGGAAGGCGGAGAAGGGTCGTATCTTGGACTTCCTGAAGTCTTTCAGGGATCGAAAAAAGACTTATTAAATTTTATCAAGGAAAAATTAAAAGGAAGGTTACAGGGGTGGTATTCCAAAACTTTGTCAATGGGGGCTAAGGAAGTTTTGATAAAGTCTGTTGCACTAGCTCTTCCAATATACGCAATGTCTGTTTTTCGGTTACCTAAAAGCATGTGTGAACGAATTACAAGTGCTATTATTGAGTTCTGGTGGAGTAGTGGGAATAAGAAGAGAAAGATTCCCTGGGTCGCTTGGGAAAAGTTATGTAAACCAAAAGAACAGGGGGGTCTTATTTTTCATGACATTGGTCGTTTCAATCAAGCTCTGCTCGGAAAACAAGTTTGGAGAAATTGGAATAACCCGAACTCGTTGGTTTCTCGAATTCTTAAAGGCAAGTATTTCAAAACTGGAGATTTTCTTGACTGTAGTATGGGGACACGTCCGTCTTTTGCATGGAGGAGTATCATGCACGGTAGGGAGTTACTCAAAAAGGGATTGTTTCGACACATTGGTAATGGGATGGATACTAATGTTTGGGCTGAAAACTGGGTTATTAATACTATTTCACGGCCTCCAATGTATCGTGAAAATAGTTCTATAAACTTAGCTTTAAAAGTTTCTGACTTGTTTTTACAGGGGTCAACTCAATGGGATATTAATTTGTTACATCGTACTTTTACAGCACAAGATGTTCAAAGGATATTAATCTTGAAACCGGCAATGGGTTTACATGATTCTTTTATATGGGGCTTCACAGCAAATGGAACGTATTCTACTCGGAGTGCGTATAAGTTTTCAGAGGCTTTGGTGGAGTATGAACATCCTCCACAGAATTCACTTACTCCTATTGAGAAAAAATTATGGACGGAACTCTGGAAAACCAAAACCCCACCAAAAATTAAACATTTCATGTGACGTGCTCTCTCTGGTGCTTTAGCTGTTAAACAATGCCTGGCTACTAGGGGTATTCCTATTGATCAAACTTGTTCTTTTAGGGGTAATAGGGTTGAAAGTATTTGTCATGTCCTTTTTACTTGTGTTAAAGCGAGAGCCATATGGGAGCAATCAAATTTTCCAATACCTCCAGGAGGTTTTTCTCGGAATTCCGTATTTTTAAATTTTGTGCATTTGCACAAAATTTCAAAGAATATAAATATGGATAGTCATATAAGGAAAGTGTACCCATGGTTGTTGTGGGAAATCTGGAAAGTTCGGAATGCCTTTACTTTTGAAAACAAAGTTTTCGACGTTTCGGTTATAGCTTCGAAAGCTTATGAAGCAGAATCAGTATGGGTTGATACTTTCAAAGAAAGGGATTGTGGGGGTGCTCGTATTGACACGGAAAGTGTGCGATGGATTCCTCCGTCTTCTGGCTTCCTAAAATGTAATATCGGATCCTCATGGGTGAAATCCAATCAGCCTAGTGGTGCCTCATGGATTTTACGTGATGAAAATAGGGTTACGATCATGCATAGCCGTCGGGCTTACTCTTATATGCGCACAAACACAGAAGCCGCCTTGTGGGCTATTTTCTGGGCAATCGAATGTATGGTTAATCTACATTTCTCAAATATTATTTTTGAGACAGCGGCCGACAACACTCACGAAGTTCTCACATCGCCGGTCAATCTGCGAAACACCGAATTAAACCTCATCCGCCACAATATCTTATCTCTCTTGGCAAGGATAAATACTTGGAGTTTAGATCACCTTTTCCAAGAACGCAATGAGGCGGCAACGGCAATCGCTCTAAGTGTTACTCGTGACCAACGTCATCAGTCTTACAACGCTCGACATGCACCAGTATGATTTTATTACCTTCTCGCTTTGGAGGCTCAAAAGTAAGGAATTTTATTTTGGTGTTTCTCCAGTCATTTTGTCTTTTTTTTTTTTTTGAACGACCTCCAGTCATTTTGTCTAAGATGTCTATTGACATCCATTTTTCTTTCGTCTATATATGTTTCCTTTTGTTAACTGATCTTACAAGTGTTATAAAAAAAAAATATACTAATTCTAAAATATAAAATAATTAGTATATTGAATTTAAACTTTCAAATCTACAAGAACCAAAAGACTGAAGAAGATTGAAAATATCCCCATCCTATGATCATTGATTTCCACAAAAGAGACAGCTTTCTTACATGCGAGTGTAAGACTAGAGAAAATAGAGCTTGAACATTGGATTTGAAAAATAACATAGGAATTGATAGCAGAGACACCAATAACATTAGCTAGCGAGTGAAGCAAAATAATGAGCAACAACGATATCAATTAATTAGGAGCTACTAGATTTGTCCGGGTTTGAAACTTTGAGATGAATGGAGACCCACAGTTTGCATGCGAGTAACCGAACCCTCTATAAAAAGAGAGAAGCCTCTCGGTTTCAAATCTCAGCTGACTACACAATACCTTAATTGTTGGAAGCGAATTGAACAAATATTATGCACGTAGTATAGTAAATTTCATTAAAATAGAACAATGAATTTAAATAGTAGCATGAGAAAGCAAAGAACCTATAACAATACAATGAAGCAAACAAACGAGCAACAACCATATCTTAATTAAGCGGTGCTAGAGAGAAATTGCCAGTAAGGGAATTCAGTTCTCGTCACTGGACAGTAATAGTTTTTGTGGAAGGTAGTGCAAGTTTTGGTGGTGAGATCATACACACCAAAGTTACGACCCACAAAATAGACGCAGTTAGGCTTGAGTCCAGGAGACGAGCTGGCAGGGACGCAGAAAGCCTGGCTATGTCCAAGAAAGATGCAGAGATCTCCAATGTCTTCTGTGTAGATCATAGTCTTATCAAAGCAATTAGATTGCTCCGTCTCCCTAAACACCATGATTTTTTTTGTTACATGCTTCAATGTTGACCCCTCGTTTTCATCGTCCTTGTCTGAGTCAGAGTCCGAGTCAGAGTCCATCCAAACCTCTGAGTCCTCACCATACCTGCAAAGACATGATAGAGTCAATACTAAACTCATTCACACAGAAATATATGATTCTAAGACTCACAGAATCTGCTAGTCAATTCAAAAAAAAACACCAACTAATTTCTAAATAAGAACATTATATTATGTAGCTAATTAGATACTATACCACTTGACTAGGAAAAGTTGGCCGGTGGGTGACTCCACAAGGTGGTCTGTCCTTGAACATGAACTCAACCCGGCAACCTCATCATACACCGAGGCTGGAATTTTGTCAAACTTCAAGTCCACGAACTCGAGTTTGTCATGCCTTCTACCCAACTCGCACAAGTAGTTGCCTCCTGGGCTAGGAATATAGAACTTTTTATCTTTCTTGGAGAACATGAGGCTCGAGGAAGGGTTTATAGACCCAGGCGCAGTTTTGATGTCTATCCACTTACAGCTCCCGAAAGGCCTACATAGACTCAACCGAGACCCCGATAACTTGAAACACACTACCCAATCTTTCTCTCGTGTAGGTAAAGAGGACATGGCCAGGCTTTGGACTTGTGAACCTGCGGGTAGAGGAGGTAGGTAAGCCGACACGTCTTTGTAATGGATAGCTAGACCCCTGTACGTATCTTCGAACTTCAAACCATCACGTGAAAATCCGGCAGTCATCGCGTTACAAACGTTCCTCATGACTTGCTTGTCGTTAATGAAGATTTTGTTTTCCTTGCGGCAATTTGAATACTCTTTTTCTAGGCCACCGTCCGGAGAGTTTGGGTTGTTGAGGATGTGGTCGACAATCAGAAACGGGTAGGGTCGATCAGATTCAGATGTGAGTAGACGAACGTTTGTGTGTCTCTACAATATACATGTTGAAGTAGTTAGAGACGATAATAATAAAAAGTTAGAAAGAAAAACCAAATTATTATCGCTTTTATTTGGAAAGCAAAATATAAGCTTACGAGGAATTTTCTGGAGACTGAGGGCTTCAGTAATCGGTTGACAATATTACGAGACATTTTGAAACCCTAAAGTGTGTGTTGTTTTTCTTCTCAATACCACTGATACATAATATATACAGAGTACGCCTTGGTCGACAAGTACACACAAACTATGAATATTTAGAGAAAACGTTATTTAAGGAAAATTGTGTTCCAAAGGAAAAGAAGTAAGGAAATAATATTTTTTAAAACGAAATAAATGCTAAAATACGCACGAATCTAACAAGTATCTTTGTTTCTTTTTCTTTCTCTTTTATGATTAACAAAACTGGGTTACTAATTTACTAATTAATTATAAAATTTAAAAATAATTAGCATATTTGAATTAAAAATTTGAATCTACCCAATTAAAATATAGTCATTTTTTTATCTACTGATACAAGTTGTCATTTAAATTTGGATTCTTTCTAGAGTGTTACAAATAATACAAGTCATATAGTTAATTGAACCGCATTACTTAAATTAAACCGATGGTTATTTATGGGATATAGTCTTGAGCTTACTTTTGTTTTTAGAACAAATTATATGGTTTGGTTTTTGGGCTTAGTATTATGGAAAAACTCCAAAAAACATTGAATAAACTTTCCACCTTAATGGATAAAAAAATCAGTTATTATTTTCAAGCCCAAAACGTATTTAATATTTTAAAACAAAACAAAATTGTCTATTATTAATCATTTATTTAAATCATGTACTTTAAAACATATTAATGTATTTTTATTTTAAATAACAATTCTTTTGTTTTGATAAATTTCAATGGTAACTTTTAAATAATTTATTTTTTATTTCTCTTAAATTATTTACTGATTTAAAAAAAAATGTAAAGCAAAACCAAAAACCAAATCTAAAAACTAAAATCCAAAACCAAAAACTGAAATAAGGTTATATTTTTTGCTTTTATTTATTTACAAAATAAACTATTGCAAATTTCTTTAAAAACAAATTTGTCATCTTTTCAGTTTTAAATTAGATGTTCGATTATTTGAGATTTGTTTGTTAGTAATATCAGTTCAGACTAACTCAGCAGGTCTAAAAATTAAAAAATCAAACCAAAAGTTGAAAATCAAAAATAGAAACTTAAAAAATAAAAACCAAAATCTAAAACAAAATCTAAAAATAAAAACTGAAACTAAAAACTAATGAATAACAATCATCAACACAAATTTTGGTGAACTGATTTTATCCCAAAACATTCTTTAAATTAAGATAAAACCCACTTACATAAATTTTTAATCATAAAAAGTTTTAATCATGTAAAAAGTTTAATTGTAACCCAATTATAAGAAAAAACGGGTTTCTGTAAATCTATTTATATTTTTATTATTTTCAACTTTTTTTTCTTTTATTTATTTACAAAATAAACTATTGCAAATTTCTTTAAAACAAAATTTGTCATCTTTTCAGTTTTAAATTAGATGTTTGATTATTTGGGATTTGTTTGTTAGTAATATCAGTTCAAACTAACTCAGTGGGTCTAAAAATTAAAAACCCAAACCAAAAATTGAAATTCAAGAATAGAAAATTAAAAAATAAAAACCAAAATCTAAAACAAAATCTAAAAATAAAAACTGAAACTAAAAACTAATGAATAACAATCATCACCACAAATTTTGGTGAACTGATTTTATCCCAAAACATTCTTTAAATTAATATAAAACCCAATTACATAAATTTTTAATCATAAAAAATTTCCGCGCTTAAAAAGCGCAGGTCAAAAATCTAGTATAATTTTAAAATTCACACACCAACACTTTAAAATCTAAAAGAACCAAAATACTGAAGAAGATTGAAAATTATTTTAAAGATTTTTAATGTCTTTTGTGTAAAATCAAAATGTTTAACGCTAGAAAGATATTTCATTTCATCTAAGTATGCCTTGGTCAACAAGTACACACCACTAGTAATTCTAAAGTTTGAAAATAATTAGTATATTTTAACCCATTTTCGTTAGTTAAAAAATAAAAGAAAAATTAACCGAGACACGTGTCATCTCAAAACCATTTCTTGAATGAATTGTGAAACCATTTATTTCCAAATATAAGCCTTGTAATTAAGTTACTACAGTTACAAAATAGCAATGTTCTTCCCGGCTCGACAAAAGTATGGGCCTATGGTCCAAAACACCGTCATTTGCCTTAACCCATTATACTGTCCAAGCAAGGCAATGAGAGTTCAAAGACAGAATCAGATATTAATGCCGTTATGCCCCATTTTGCATCTCATCTTTGTAGTCAAATCTCTGACGCATTTGTACATTTAGGGCTCATGATAATAATTTCCAGAGTCGTGTAACCAACTCTAATCCAACATAAAATGGAAATGTAGATCCTTTAAGGAACTTTTGTGACATTGTTTAATAACACCGAACTTAAAGAAACTATCTGAGAAAATGGAAAACCCTTCTTTAATAACGTTCTTTTGGATTCCATCACTGGAGAAGAAGACGTGTTGGTTTCACCAAGAAGTCTCTTCAATTCTTTACTTCAAACCCAACAATAGAGACAGATACTAATAAGACAATGGAGTGATCAAGTATAAAAGAAACAGAAACTGCTCTGAATCCTCTTGAGACATTACTAAATCACTTGCATGTAGCTTTTCTAAGGCAATTCCTATTTAAAAAAAGTAGGTAGAGGTGACACAAATTAAGATTCAATCTCTGTATGCGTATTAAAAGAGAGAAGGGAAGTGTTAAAGCGTGGTTGGTTTCAATGAGTAAGGCACAAAAGTATATGCAGAGGCCACGTCACCACCAATCTCTGAAGAAGCCCTTATGTGTCGTTCTGACAGTTTCAGTGATCAGCATGCTTCTGATATGTACTCACCTCTTCCCACGATATGGCAAGAACTCTTCCTGTCATGGTCTCTATAGTTCTAGAGGCTGCGACAGTGCTCTCTCAGCGTTGCTACCGGCTCATATCAGGAAACTCACTATTAAGGAGATAGCAGCTCGAGCAGTGGTCAGAGACATACTTAGAACGCCTTCCTCCCTAACCCAAAACTCCAAAATAGCTTTCTTGTTCTTGACTCATGGTACTTTGCCATTTGAGAAGCTCTGGGATGAGTTCTTCAAGGTAACAAAACACCTAGACATACTCCAACTTAAATTACTCTTCTTTTTTTTGCTTAATGAGCCAATGGTGCACCAGCCACGTATCCTACCACTAGACGACTGGTGCTTGTTGTTAACTTTAGTTACACTCTTTTCATTGTTACAATCATTGTTTGCTTGTGTTGTGAAGGGTCATGAAGGAAAGTTCTCTATTTACATCCACACGTCGAAAGAAGGTACAGTTCACATCAGCCGTCATTTTTATGATCGTGAAATCCATAGTGATGAGGCTACTTGGGGAAGGACTTCAATGGTTGATGCTGAGAAGAGGTTACTAGTTAGTGCTCTTGAAGATCCTGACAACCAACACTTTGTTCTTCTTTCTGAGAGGTAATGATTTCAATCTTGATTAAGTGAGTTTTGTATAACTCACTGCATGTGTAATTTTCCATGTTCAGTTGTATACCATTGCATACTTTTGACTACACGTATAGATACTTGCTAAACTCCAACGTCAGCTTCATTGAGAGGTAAACTAACCTCTAAAGTTTTAAAATATATATATATATATATATATATATATATATATTTTTTATTTTTTTTTCATTAGTATTCACTGACATTTTTTATAATTCTCAAGTTTTGTGGATCCTGGTCCGCATGGGACTGGGAGACACATGGAACACATGTTACCTGAAGTTACCAAGGAAGATTTTAGAAAGGGTGCTCAGGTAAAGACAAAGCCTCAAATCTCTTATAGAGCTTGTCTTGATTAGCATGTTGCTACTTGTTGTGGTGTAATTTTTTTGGACTCTTATGGACAGTGGTTCACAATGAAGCGACAACACGCCGTTATAATGATGGCTGATAGTCTATACTACTCAAAATTTCGCAAGTATTGTGGACTAAGTAAGTCTGCGATAGGGGGTGACAAGAACTGTACTGCAGATGAACATTACATGCCAACATTCTTTAGTGTGAGGATATGCTTCTTAACACTATCCCATCTTCTCCAAGTCTTTCAAGCCTTTCTTGATGATGAAACATATTTTGTTTATTTGCTGGATCTTCTTTGCAGAAAATGGATCCCATGGGGATCTCGAACTGGTCAGTGACGTATGTTGATTGGTCTAAACGAAGGAGGCATCCAAAGACTTTCAGAGCACATGAGATTTCATTAGAGTTTTTGAAAAGTGTGTCGGTATGTTTTGAAAACTCAATCTCTTGATCACAGTTAGTATTTTATTCTACTTTTCCTGTTTCTTGCTTGTGCAGTCCGAGGAAATGAGTATACATGTCACAAGTTTAGGAAAGGTATGCTCTCGTGGCCTCTATTATCTCTTTATATCTTCCTTTAAACTTTGACTTTGTGGTATTTTGAAGCATGGAGATGAGCTGCATTGGCCTTGTACATGGAACGGGATTACACGACCTTGTTATCTGTTTGCGAGGAAGTTTCATCCGGATGGTCTCGACACATTGGTCAGCCTCTTCCCAAACTACACAAGCACAGTTGTCTGAATTAGGATTCTTGAGCCGCAAGTCTTGGGCCTAAGATGTTCCACATATGGATCTTTTAGATACTGTAAATTTTCTATTTAAAAAACTGAAAGGATTCCTGATCTTGTAAGTTGATGTTTCTTGATGAAACTGAGAGCCGGTACAGGCAATTAGAGCAGATATTTTTGGTTAATAAGAGTTTCATTTTGTGTATTGAAAAAAAAAGTTTTATTTTGTGATTTTCCCTTTGGTTCGGTCATATCTAAATCGTTGATTTCTCTTTTTGAGAAAAAATAAATAAAAAAAGAAATTAAGTCGTTGATTTCTTAATTTATGTTTTAGTTATTCTTGGATTTTATTTCTTTTGAAATATATTTAACTAGGGCCGGCTCGGGCTACGCCCGGATTTTTAGTTAAAATTTTAAATATATATATTGTATGTTATTTTGATATATAAATATTATAATCTATTATAAAATATAGGTAGTTAGACAATTATATAACTATTTTTTAATTATTTATTGTTTTGTCTTTCGAATCTTAAAAGTTTAATATCAAAATTTTGTATGTCATAGATTATCAGTATGTGTTTTGCGTAGAATTGTTTGTGTTGTGGCTCCTCTCGACTTTTGTTTCTTTATTTGTTGTGTGTTATTATTTTATTTTCAATTTTTTTTTGTAAAATTTTGTTTGGTTATTTATTACTCATTGTTTACAATTTGAATTTTTTTTGATATTTATTCTAATTTTGATCTTTTTACCTAAAATGGAAAGAAAATTTAGTGTGTAAATCTTTTTTTCCTTAGGTTTGATGAAACATAAAGGAAAACAATATAATAATAGATTTTCCGTCTTTCAAAACTTATAGACTTCTTTATTTATTTTGAATATAGTTAAGTATTTTATAACTTTTACTTAACTATTTTCTTTATCAAAGTTTTTATTAAACATAGGAAAAAAGCTTTTCATTAAACTCAAGTTATATTACATAGCATAATTAAATTTTAATTATCTATTTTTATATCTTATTAATTCTTGGTTTTTAAATTATTTTGGTTATGTATTAATTGTTAATTATTTTATATCATTTTGTATTCTAGGTCAACCTTAAATTTGGTAGTAAAAAGGAACCAAAAATCTATATTTTTATTTTAGTTGGTATAAATCTAATGAAATGTGTAAAGATTAATAGCGCAAATTGATTATCCTCTTTCTCATAAATTGTATTTATTATAATTACAAATTTATTTGTTTAATTATATTATATATTTTCACTAAATAATTATTTTCATTATAATTATAATAATTTTATTTATTATAATTACAAATTTATTGTTTTAATTATATTATATATTTTCACTAAATGATTATTTTGTTAACAAAAAGATTAATGTCAATTTTTTTGTTTCATTAAAAATAAAATATTAATTATAATGATTTGGAAGTTATTAAATTGTTTGAAAGTTTCGGTGGCTGTATTTAGGGTTCACATCATGTTTGTGTGGGACATGTTATATTGATCAATATGATGTAGTTCTGTATCTTTGCAAGTTCTATTCTCGGGCTTATGGTATTATGTGCTAATTTTTCTCCAACTTATTCTTAAAAACTATTAATCAAGTGGAAATATATTTACTCTCATTTACTTTTTTATTATTGTTTCAAAAGAGATAAACGCACACTCATCGTTGTGCTAGATATAGTGTACGTAACAATATTTTCTCATTTTCCTTCTCTTTTCTATTTTATTTTTTCTGATTCTATTTTATCGGAAAAAACTGTGATTTCTTAGCGGCCATTGAAATAGTGTTATGAGGTAAAAAAATATGAGGCATGATGGTGTTAAGCTAATGACATATTATTTTGTCAAGTTATACGTCTGATATTCATATTTATTTTATCTTCATCTTGTGTGTATTCGTTTCAAGATAATTGATTATTATTTAGTGTTTACTTTGTCTATAATAAAATGAATGACATGTTCACTTAAACATTTCACCATCTCTATCCAAATTTGATGTCCGTTTATATTTTGGACATTTTTATTTTTATCTACTGTCAAACATATTTTGTAATATTATATTATTTTTAGTATTATAATGTTATATGTTTTGTTTGTTTTTCATAAAAGCACATAGTTATTTTTACTTGTCTTCTTATTTTTTATACGCAGTAATTGATATAAATTTAGTGTGTATACAATATTATTTGTAACAACAACATACAATATAATTTATATGAGAATCTTTGTATTTGTTTGATGTGTTTATTCTTTTTTATTTAGTTTGTATTCTGATTTGTTTCCTGCATATATAATGCATATTAATTCCTAATGTGTTACTATTAAAAATCTAGTGATACACACATAAAAATATTTATATTTAAATTTAGTGAGTATCTGATTTTTCTTAATTTATTTAAAAGAATAACATTAAATTTCACTATTTATATTTTTATTTTATTATATAAGTAATTTCTAACATTTGTCAAAGTTGATAAAATAAAATATCTAAGAATATAAATTATGAATTATTTTCAGCTAACTTATGTGGGAATCTTTGTATTTTATTTGATGTGTTTATTGCTTTTGATTTAGTTTGTATTCTTATATTTTCTTTGTATATTTAATGCATATTAATTTCTAATGTGCTGATATTAAAAATCTAATCATACGTACGCATAAAAAATATATATATTCAAATTTAGTGAATATCTGATTTTTCTTAATTTATTGAAAATAAGAATAACATTGCATTTCACTATTTATATTTTTTATTTTATTAATAACATTTAATTTCACTATTTATATTTTTTTATTTTATTATATCAGTAATTTCTAACATTTTTCAATATTTATAAAATAAAATCTCTAAGAATATAAATTATGGATTATTTTCAGCCTTATATTTTTTTAATTCATAGATACTATGATTTTTTAATATATTTTTATCTCAAAATAAAAAGATTCATACTTCTTAAAAAGAATTGATAAATGCATTCAAATAAAGTAAACCTTAGTTAATATTAAATATTATTTTTTGTAATAATAAATTTGCATGTCATGTGTCATTTTGTTCTCATCCTATTTAGTGACATGGCATCACAAGAGGGTAGAAAACTTTTTTCTATATAATAAGATGTATGAGTCTTATCTTACGTTGATATTTCTACTTTCCATTTTTTAATGGCCGTGTCAACAAATGAAAGTTTTAAAGGTATGCAAGTATAAAATTTCCTAGATCATATACTACTATACACAATTTATTGGCCTATGCAATGTAAATCATCCCAAACTAAATCGTCGCACACATTCTCGGATAGATTGCCATGACTACAGTAGTTAACAAGAAGAGAGAACCATATATTGAACAATTGATTAATTATATTGTTTAAAATCATCAGACATGAAACATCATAACTTTATATATTTTGTATATATTGTGCATTCTTACGGATATGTACAAATAACCGTAAAAGCAATTACAACCGTGAAGTCATGAACAAAAAAAGCACTTAAAGTTATGATGTCGATTTGAACAAAAAAAAAAAAAAAAATTATGATGTCGACCAAAAAAAGCACTTCAAGAGATACAAACACATTTCAATATCACAAACCCCCACAAACACATCTATTTCTAGTAAATCACACATTACATCCACCTAACTTCCTTGAAAAAGTCATAAAACTTCTAAAAATAAGATGAATGATCGATCAATAGGGTTTCTGGCCGATGTAGTTACCGGGAGGATCATAGTTACAAGTCATGAAGATCCCACCATTGTCGCACACCACACGTGCACACCCGATCCTCCTCGTCTCCTTCCACACGAGCTGAGTGTAATGCCCACACATCTTCCCTGAGTCGCACGAGTTGGAGCCATAATGATAAAACCTCTTCTCGCTGGCCCACGCGACCACAGCGTCAGCCGGTGACCAGTTGGCTCCGTATCCCCAGAATATGTTCTCGCCTAGAGTAAACTCTCCGTCTTGGAAAGAGTGTTGCAAAGCACAATCAGACTTTCTTTGATTAGCCCAATTTTGAGCGTAGTTCTGGAGTGTTTGATCCCATATCAAAGGTGGTTCGAATCTTGCGGCACGGACCAAGTTGTGTCGGAACAAGAACTGTAACGAGTCGTGGTCACATCCTGGGCATACACTCCTACATATTTCGAATATTTGACCGAGTGTTGCAGCTTTGGTTGTTGATATTGAAATGAAGAGATTAATGGCACCTAATAGTAATATTACTCGTAAAAAGGATGAGTTCATCATCCTTTTTTTCGAGATTTTTATTGTCTTTTTGGTGCTAATGGTTTTCATGAGAAGTATGGTATTTAAATATAGAGCGAGAAAAGGAACTTAAAATCAAATGTATGGATGTAAATTTAAGCTATTTTTTGCTGCTCTATCTATCATTTTAACCGCGTATCTTGCATTACAAATGTGATCATTCTAAATTTGACTGATTGCAAAATTTGAGAAAGAAAAAAAGTGCTTGAGGATATTGGCTGTATTATTGGAGGGTGATATGATTGTGTTGTCCCGTGAGTGCTAATGTTGTCTGTATTAGATAGGCTGATTTGGGAAGACAGATCGTTACTGGAACACTTCAATAAGTCAACATGCCAGCCCATTTTTGCACTCACAAGTCCCTACTACATTATTTCAATGAAATCTATACGAATCTACACGCCAATATTTGTGTTCTATAATTTAATTGGCGCTATCTTTTTGTACATTAGTATTTTTTTTTCTTGTTTGCTGTTCACTCTATCTATCACACATTTCACCATTGATTGCGATAGAGTTGAAAAGTTAGCATTATACGATCACATGGCATTTACTCTGGTGAATGCCTCAATTGATCGCTGTTTGTTTGATGAATGGTCACGTGTTTAATCGCTTGGTTCGCAGCCCAACTTCAATGATGAAACAGCTCGGGCAATTTTCGCTTAACCAGTTTGGTTTTTAGATTTTCTGATTCATATTCTTTCATTCATAAACACTTCTCATTTCGAAGCACTTGATATAAAAATGTATTTGACTGAATACATTCATTTAGGAAAGGAAAAAAAAGAAAGAGAATGGACATGTTTTCCCAAATTTCTTAACATAAATATTTATAATCCACGTTAGAGTGAGGACTCATAATTTTAAAAGTAATTTTGAACTTGGAATTCAATATGGATATGAGGGCGTATACGCACGCGGTATCTGGTTTGTTAAGAAATTTGAGAAACAAGTAAGACGTTGCTATGTTAAGAAATTTGAGAAATTTACGTCACATATATATACACTCCCTCATCTTGGAGCACTTATGTCTCTTAGATTGAGTCTATGAATCAAGAAACAACCAGATTTATTCACACACTATCAAAATTGGCAAGAAAGTGTAGACTACATTAGTAATGACAGAGAGACAAACAGTAAAACTAATAGACCACCATGCATTATCTGTTTCTGAAATTATCCTGGTAGTTTAGTTCACAAGTCACTTTTTCAGTGACGAGTACTTCCCAACACACCTCTATGCTCAATAATCTCTCGTACAGAATCCTTTTTTTTTTGAACCTCTACCAAATACTGTGAGAACCATGAACTATATAATTTAAATCGAGCATCAACCAATTAAAAAGTTAAGGTCTAAACTTCAACAGTCCATCTCAAATTAACAGTTTCTTGTGGTTCAGTATGGTTAAGAGTCAAAAATTAATCTGAAACCGGTTAAACCATCTAAAACAACAATCCAAAGCCCACCTTGCATCAAACAACTATTACGACGATCGGCCCAAATAAAGCCTAAGTCCATAATATATATGATAGCCATCTTTTATCCTCCGCAAACCCTAATTGTCCCTCAGTATCTCTTTGGACAAAACAAAAACAAATCTGTGTCTCTTTGCAGCGAAAGCTCCACCAACAAGACAATGGTATAGACTCTGCTTCTGATCTATCTCTCTATTTTTACATGTTGTAATGAAAGGAATTATCCAAGTTTGTACTGATTATGTTGTTTGTCTTGTTGCCAGATTATCTCAGAGACCAATCGCAGAGAGATCTGCAAATACCTTTTCAAAGGTTTGTTCTTTTATCGTATCTAATGTGTTCTTATCTGAATAATGTAAATGCTAGATCGAGTGAACCTTTTAAAGTTTGAATCTTGAAGACTATGCTGTGATGTGTTTGAACGCTAAATGATCTATGGTCAAATGGGTTTTTACAGAAGGAGTTTTGTTTGCGAAGAAAGATTTCAATCTTGCAAAGCATCCGTTGATTGAGTCAGTACCAAACCTGCAAGTGATTAAGCTAATGCAGAGCTTCAAATCCAAGGAGTACGTTAGGGAGACGTTTGCTTGGATGCATTACTATTGGTTTCTGACTAACGAAGGGATTGAGTTCTTGAGGACTTACCTCAACCTTCCTTCTGATGTTGTTCCCGCTACTTTGAAGAAGTCTGCTAAGCCTGGTGGTGGTCGTCCCTTTGGTGGCCCATCTGGTGATCGCCCTAGGTTGGGTTTTGTAACACTTTTTCTTTTGTATCGTTTTTTAATTCATTGGGACATGTCTGGTCTGATGAACATGTGTGTTATTTGTGGTTTTTGTTTCAGAGGACCACCTCGTTTTGATGGAGACCGTCCTAGATATGGTGACCGTGATGGGTACCGTGCAGGTCCACGTGGTGGTGATGCTGGAAGAGAGAAGGGTGGAGCTCCTGCTGATTACCAGCCCTCTTTCCAGGTAAAAATTCTCTCTTAACTAGATATGATGAGGAGATTTTGTCTGACAATCTTGTTGTGTTTCTGTTGGTCCAGGGAAGTGGTGGTAGGCCTGGTTTTGGCCGTGGTGCAGGCGGTTACAGCGCAGCAGCACCATCTGGTTCGGGTTTACCCTGAAAGAATCGGTTTGATCGTTAGACTATGGAAAGACAGTTTTGTTTTTTTGGTTTAGTTTTGTTTGTGTAATGCAAATCCGGAAGCTGTCATTTATCTATTTCTCTGACTTTGGTCTAAAGAAACAAATCCTAAGTTTTAAGGATAGTGTTACATTTCACGTTTTTATTCTTTTCTGCTGGACCAACAAATCCTAAGTTTTAAGGAGTTTGTATATATGTGACTTTGGTCTAAAAAAACAAATCCGGAAGCTGGTTGTGTCAAAGAAAGGAGTTGGTTTTAAGGCTATGAAAGGTCAGAAGAGAGTGGATGAAGAGTGATGCTAGGCAATGTGGAGAAGGCAAGTCCGGTAGGAAGGGGAAGAACAGCGCCACTGGTTAATTAGGCCAGAAAGGTATAAAACCAAGGGGGTAATAGACCCATGGGCGGCTGGTGAGTCCTAAATGGTTGAGTTGAGGCGAAAAGTAAGTTTTGTTGCGTAGTGTTTAACACTGCCAAGTTGTCAACTAAATAATATCAGACTCGGATTCATCCTCTGATGATAACATTCGTACAGTGGCAGATATGCTGACCTGTGCAAGAAAATAGTAAGTGAGCACAGAAAGAAGAGATGCTTATAACAAATACATGTTGCGGACGAACGCTTTACCGGAATGGTTTTGGATCACTGGATGACGAAAAGCATCACGAAAGAAGTTAAATGAAACCTCAGCTCAGAGAAATCAACGCTCGATCAGCCAAGAAAGTGGCAGGGCCAAGGCACGGAAGAAGGCAAACACAATATCCGACACCACTGGTATATTTCAATATGTACCATTTGTTACATGTGTTGTGTTCAAGTGCTTTGTGAGTTGTGTACATCATATACCATTTGAATCACATATCTCAGTGGCAAGTGGCAGCTAAAATATATCACATTTTCTTAAAGCAATATGAATAAAATGTAGACTTGCTAGTGGTGAATGGTACTTGACAAAATCACACTTTCTGCTGATAAGTAATAAACATGGAGTTCCAACGAAGGTACAAATACAATGAATACAGATGTAGAGAATAGTACGTGTAACTTCTCGAACAATGGATATACACAGTTACCCAAATGCAGTAGGGTGGATGGATACAGAGTCACGGCTTTGTTTTCTCTGATGATTGGGGACTGCTGCATGATTCGCATCTTCATCTTTTTCCTCCATCTCTGTACTTGTGGAGGGTTTGGCAGTGTTAAGCAACCCTTTGAACCAACTACCTTGCAATCTCAAGTTCCCATTCTCCGAACTGCTGCTAACCGTTCCAGGCCGTTGTGGAGAGCCGTTGGTTACATTCGAAGTAATATTCGAAAGGAAGCGGTAAGCCACTTTACTAGCTGATACTAGTTCAGTTTTGGCTTGCTTTACCTGCAACATCCCAAATCACAAGATTTTAGCACTCAATGGGCAAAACGAAATGAAATGAAAGAGAACCCACCCGCATTGCTGTGTTTCCTGCAACTTCCAAGGCAGTGTCCCCAGCATGAGCAAAGCGATTCACCCAACCTATTAAAGAGACAGAACCCAAACAATCACATAACCCTTAAAGGCCAACACACATACACACACTGACTCCCAAATAATTGCTTTTTTTTTTACCTGGGAGTTTAGGCACACCAAGCTTGTCACAGAGTACATCACAGAAGTGATTACAATTTTTAGACAACAAATCATACGTGTGTCCAGGCCATTCCCTGCTAAGCTCACGCAATATCTGATTAACCATAAAGATCGTACAATCCGTCTTCCCAAGAACAATCTTCTCACGGTAAGTGTACATAGGGTTCTTGGTACTAGGACAGCTGAAGACACCAGTTCCTTGTTCACAATACCCAAAAGACCATTCATCATCCCCGTGTACCTACACAAACTCATAATAAGAGATTACCCATTAGTCAATAAACCCTTCCTTAAAATAGTCATCTAAAAGAGACACAAGAAAACAACAAAAACATGAACAAGACTAGTCAAAATGGTAATTTACACATAATCATTAGCAACAGACTCTAGTCTCTAAGTTCACGTAATTGTCATGACTTATAAAAATTGGTCAGAGAGATCAAATCTTAAGTAAAGGTGAGTCCTTTAACCTAAAGGAAAGTTTCCAAATTTAAGTCTCAGATCAAGTAAAGGTGAGCCCTTTGCTAAAGGGTTTAAAGTCTCAGATCTTATAGAAAGAGATGAGGATGGAGCTAAAAAACCTGAATAGCGCTGTGGAAGATGCCGCCGAGACCGATGCCGTCTTTGAAGAATCTGTTGATCTGAAGGATAGTGTTGTTAGTCTTCTCAGATCCACTGTTGGTCACATCGTATATGTGCACAACTACCTCCGTCATGATTTGATTTCGTTTCAACTTCAAAAACCCTAATTCCTAACACAAATTGAGCTTGAAAGATTCTCTCTGTAGCTTCGAGAGGAAGACTCGTACCAAAACCGCAACTACTAGATCTCTCCGAAAGTACTCTCTAAAAGCAATTTTGGTTTTATCTTCTCGCGATTTCGGACGTTGGTGATGAAGATGAAGATGGTGCGGCGGTGGTGGTGGGGGATGGATCCTTCGAAATGACTACTTTACCCTCGCTTTTCCTGCGTATTTGCAAGCCATGTTGTTTTTTACGTCGGTTTAACTCTAAACCGTTGGAATCGTAATAATCTGGGCCGTCCAAATCTACATCGCATCTAACGGCTGTTAATATCTCCGACACGAATACTGGGTCCCACTAGAGATAGTCGCACCACCGGCCATTCCAAGTATCAAAGACTCAATTGAAAACTTATTACATTGCAACAAAAATCAGAGATCACTGGATACGTGGCGTAATTTAATAGGATGAAATGGACACGGTCAACGATTTGTTATTGTAATAACTACTCTCTGATCATCTACGTCTTCGTCGTTTTAAGATTAAATGTTATTGAATTGGTGTGTGTTTTTCTCCTTTGCAAACTTTGAACTAATAAGGAGGAGTGGACGAGTGATTCCAAATACAAATTCTTACAACGTCTCCCTTGAGTTGTCTTTATTTTTGGGATTTTAGGTATTCTTTATATAGTTCATGAGATCCTCGACGAGTTTAGTTTGCAGTTATTTAGTTAGAGCTATAGATCTAAAGTAAGCAGTTATGGATAACGTGGTATTCTGTAAGTCGCTAGGAAAGAGAAGAAGAAACATGGTAAAGGTGAATTTGATCGTGTGTCAAACAAGCTGAGAAAACACAAAAAAGAAACTCTTGATACCTCTACAGCCATCAGGGAAGAGTCAGAGCTTGAGAGAAAACTTGAAACACAACAGAGGTAAGATGAAGAAGGGGTAGGGATTTCAGAAGCTGTTGCTCTACACGTCCTACTAGGTCAAGATTCTGATGATGATGATATTCATCCCGAGTCGAAGAAAAGGGTTTCAAGATGGATCTCCTTAGTGGTGAAAGAACCAACTATGTTCCTCCCCCAACGCTGCGCTAGCTATGCGGCTCAAGGGATTGGGTTTTGTGTCAAACGGTATCTGTATCATGTCATATTAGCCATTCACGAGGGAATCTTGGGATAACAACATGGAAATATCTGCGGATTTGATTGCTGCTCAGGCTGTCTTGTCGCTACGGATACTGAAAACACCTGATCGGGAACGACTTTGTGTTCAACTGGCGGCTAAGCTAAGCATATGTTATGATGGTACAAACTGTTGTTTATTTCAGAATCTCTTTTCGGTGTGAGATTGCTCTGTTGTTTTTCTCTTCATACTCTGTTTTCTTTCCATGAAATATTTACCAACACATTGCGAGTTGTATTCATCATACATAAACTCTTAATATCTGAATTGCAGCTGTCTTTCAATTTGAATTGTAAGCAAAACATATGCTGTGATACAAAGTAACTGGAAACAGATGAGTACGTTCTGGACCAGTGGATATTACAGTAAACCAAATCAATGCACTATCGTGGACTGGTACGGTTGCTAATGAAACAGAAGAACCTCAGTGTCATGGCTTCTTTGTTTTCGCTGATTGGGGTTGCATGGTTTGCATCTTCATTTTTGTTATCTCTCTCTACTTTATGAAAGGTTTGGCAGTGTCTAGTGTCCCTTTGAGCCAAGTGACTTGCAGCATTCTCAAGTTCCTATTCTTTGTATTGTTGTTGACTTACTATCGTACTTGTTAACTGTGTAGCAAAATTCTCTCCCGAAGTTTGGCGTTTCTGTTAAGAAATTGAGGTGTATTCTGCTAATCTGTGGTCACAACACCTGCAAACACATCACATAAAGGAATGACCTTGTGATGTGCGAAGAAGATTTTGCTTTTTTGCTTCTTCAGTGGTTGAATTTGATGTACCAGTTTATGTTAGTTTTCGATCTTTTACCACAAAAGCTCACCCGATTACTCTGTCACGGCTGCTACAGCTCTGACATATATTGCTCAAAAAAATCAGAACAGAAAACAATGAATACTTTGCAGTAACATTACCCTTTTCTCATTTTTATCTTCTTCCAGAAAACCACTTTCCAAGGAAGGAAAAACAAGAAGCAGCGACCAAATACAAAAACAAAAATCTAGAAGCCCTCTTGTGGAAGGAAGCCTAATGTAGAATGGGAAACAAACTCTAAACCTTGAAGAAAAAGAAACCAACATCACCAGATTGTATCACTAGAACTCTGGTGTCGTCAAAAACGAGAAGATGCAAAAAGAAAACCTACCAAAACCCAAAAGTCTCATATTTTATTTGATAATGGCGCATCGTTGTTGTTGTTCTTCTTATTGTCGTTGGAAACAACAGTGTCTAGTTGTTCTCCATCTGATCTGAACCGTCGGATGTTACCACCACCGTCTTCTCCCATTGTCTCCAAACCCCGAGGCGGAGGACGCCGGTGCACCATCTCATACATGTTCTCATTCTTCTCATATCTACACCCTTCTCCTCGGCTTCCACCAGCAACATCAAACCTTCTGTTATTATTATTTTGCCGCACAAATGGTCTGAAACTGTTATTGTTCTCCGAGTTCACTCTTCTCATGTTATCAAATCTCTGCTCATGTCTAAACATCCTTCCTGGCGGTGATTTCCTTCCTCTAAAGTTGTTATTATGATGATGATTCTCCCCACCACCATCGTTGTTTCTGCTGTCGAAAAACCTCGAGTTTCGCTGGTTTCTTTGCGGAGATATGAACCCCATCTCTTGGTCGAGCGGAAAACGTTTCTGGAACGGTAACCTCACCCTCTCCATCCTGTTGTCATCGGCTCTGAAACCGGGAGGAGATCTGTTCTGCCCGTTCCATGAACCTGGGGAGCGACTTCTGGGCCTGGACCGTGACTGAGGGTCGTGCAATCTCCTGAAGACGGGAGGGGAGTTACTTCTCTCTCTCCTACTGTTTATCCGGTTGTTGTGCATGCGACTTGGATAGTCGTTGGCATCATTGGGAGGGTAGGAACACTCTACGCCTCTGAAATCACGATTCCCGTTGCCATCTGGGAACCTTCTGAACCGACCCCTGTATCCTCCATTTGAGAAATGCCTACGAACATAGCCTTGTGGACCTGGGTGGTCTGGCCCTGGCTGATCAAAGCCACTCATCCTAACTCGGCCCTCCTCAACGGTTTTAGGAGGTGGACGTCCAAAACCGTATTGACCACGTTTGTGAGATGGAGAGAAACGATGTTCGGAATCCCAGCGGCTAGAGAATTGTCCTCTCCCAGGACTCCTGTTTTGCATACGCATCTCTGTTCTCTCTCTCCCGACAAACTTATTTGGACCAGCGTCCCTCTCATTCATCTCTTCGTAACTATAAGGCCTGAAAAGGAGAAATCACTTTAATTAGCAAAGAGACCAAAACATGATAACAAAAAAATAATGAAATGGTAACGAGGTTCAGCGGAAATAACTTGCCTTCTATTTGGACCAGCGTCCCTCTCATTCATTTCTTCGTAACTATAAGGCCTGAAAAAGAGAAATCACTTTAATTAGCAAAGAGACCAAAACATGATATCAAAGAATAATGAAATGGTAACGAGGTTCAGCGGAAATAACTTGCCTTCTACTTCGGATGGGTTCACGCGAAGGTAGCTCCCTGTATGGTTTTGACCCGAAGCTCCTTGATGGAGAAGATCCTTTTGAATGTGAATCATTCATGCAAACCACGACATGTTTCTCTATATCACTATTTTCTTCATGCACATTGCCAGATTCAGACTTCGCAGCTCCACACTTTGTCTGTGCCACGACTCCTTTCTCAACGTCCTCAAGCTTATTCTCATTACACTCTGCCAAAGAGTAGAATCGCTCATTCTCTGGCTCAGACCCATAATCAACTTGTTCAACATCTCCGCTGTCAGCCTCGTTTTCTTCCCAAGGGTATGGTTCCCTCAACTCTCCATCCTCAAACTGGGAATCATAACCGGATTGACACTCCTTCCCATTTTGAGTTGAGGCTTCTGCCTTGTGCCCAGCCGACAATGGAGAATCCATGTTCACATCTGATGCGGTCAGGCCAGTCGCGTAGTCTTTACTACCATCAACATGTGTTCTCTCTGTAACGGACTCAGTGACTTCCCCATCAGAGTATCTTCTGGATGTCTCATCAACTACATCACAAGACTGACCCCATGCGTCTGTTGGAAGATTTAGATCCCAGTGTAACCTATCATTTGTGAGGGTTTCGGACTTCTTACCCTTTCCAGTGCACTCATCACCAGATATATTCTCTGACACCGTGACACTCTGAGGTGCTAAATTTCCGCTATTACCTGCTTCAATCTCTTCCTTTGGCCTTTCTGTCGAGGATTCATTCGAAACAGCAACGCTGATGTTCTGAGCCACTATCATACTACTCGATGCCACCATAATATGCTCTTTACTCTGATCAGCAACCGAAGCTTTACCCAAAATATCAACCAAGGCTTTTTGAGGCACTTCTCCACCCTTTTCACCGGACTCAACCATAGTATCTTTCCCTGAGACATCAACAGTGCCAGCCGATGAATCATTACCTTCCACGTTACCAGATAAGGTCAAAGCATCTTGCTGCCGAACAGGTTCAGCAAGCTGACTGTCAACTACGGATGCAATTTCGCTACTCATACCACTACTGCAAGCAACCTCTGCAAGTATCTCAATACCAGAGAAGTCATGACTGCCGCAATCAGGTTTATCATCATCAAAGACTTTAGGTGCTTTCCCGGCCATTAGATTAGGGTTCAACCGTGAAACAGGTAGAGCGTGATTAAACTCTGCACGACGTTGTGAGCTCACATTCATAGGTGATGGAGCGGGAACCATAAATCTCCGTTTCTTTATCGGAACATGGTCTACTCTTTCTGCAAGATGCTGGCTTAGAACAGAAACGCCAAGCTGCCATAATTGATAGAATCAAGCGTTAGCATAATAAATCCCTTCAGAAGCAGGGACAATAGAAGAACAAAATGGGGGAAACAAGCTTTAATGAAAACCTTTTCTGATCCTGTATCTCCTTCTGCCTCAACATCAGGGGCTGGAGAACGTGAAACTTGTTTCTTAGTACGCCTTGTGGAACTCCTACTACCTTTAGCCACCATTTTCCAAGGAAGATCGTTATTGATGGTCGCCTTAAGCTCTAAACTACCAGTGCTTGTCATACTTTCATCGCAGTCCATCCACGTAGATTCAACACAACTAGAAAGTCTTTTTTCCGCTTAGCTCGAATCCACAAAGTTAATGATATATGCCACAGTGTAATCCTCAATGTGTAACCTCACCTGAAAGTAACAATCTCCATAAGAAAGCCGTATTAACAACAAAAGTACTTATTTTCCTATGAAGATGGAGCCACAGCAGAAAGAATAATCCATGAATCTCCGTCCCCGAAAACATATATGGTTGTCAAATAAAATCTACACATATACGGTTGTAAATAGACGAATCAAAAGTCATCTTCCTGCTTCTTGAAGCCAAAAAAAAAAGTCAAAGGGTAAGGCAAAAAAAGAGCTAAGTTTTGAGTCCACTAGCTTTAGGCAAGACCCGTAAAACATGACGATCTTATGAGGAGCCAAAAAGATCCGACTTTCCAGAGTATGGATGAGTCTCAAAATCAAAAACAATAATAGCAATCCATCGTTCCTCCTCATGGATCTGCCATCCCAAGGGAAGCTACCTCGTAGCCCGATAAAAACAAAATCGAATCTGGTGGACATCAATGAAGAGCGATCTCCTCTTTAAACGCAATGAAAGCAGAAATCAAAGAGCTAGGGTTTTCATATACCTTATTCAACCAACTTTTTCATCACCACTCAAAACACACACACACCAAACCCGCCGCTTATGTGAGATTGGATCTCAGATCAACTCCTTCAGATGCTTTTCCACACAAATCTACCTCTCCAAAAGTAACGAAACCTCTCGATTCGATTCGATTTATCAAACGATCGCCTTCCAAGTCTCGTCACCGAATACAAATACCACACAGGACGAAGATCGATCAAAACGTAGTCGGAGATTCAACGGTGAAGAATAGTCGCCGATAAGAGAGGCGGCGAAGCTAGGTCTTCTTCTACTTTTTCGTCTTCTTCTTCTTCACAGAGCTGAATTAAAAAAATATTATATTTTCTTTTTTGCTTTCCTTTTAGCTTTGGGTGGAACAGCGTAGAGCCTCGTGGCTTATCACCACGTATTTATCATCCTTTCTACACCGACAATACCCTCCTTCGTACTCACAAATCACGGTTTTGCCATCTTCCCTTATGGGCTTTGTTCTTTTTCTTTTCGGGAAATAAATATTTTGCAGAATAAATGTAATTACTTTTATGTCATAGGAAAATATTAAATTCTGGAATCCTCGATTCGGCTGAAAAGTCGATGGTCAACTAGAGGACATATGGCCTCGTGGAATTTTAGGTGATAATTCTGAAACTAGATTTTGACCCGCGCTTAAGAAGCGCGGGTTTTTTTTTGCTAACCGTAAAGCCAAATATTTCGGAATAGATATTTTGATTGGTTTTGATGGTGTTTTTAAATTTGATTGAGTTGATGGTAAAAGGGGTTCGAGATACCTTGTATTTATAAAATGAGAGGGTTGTTGTTCTATTATTTTATTTCAGTCTTGTAAAATTAAAAAAATGAATATGGTAAAAAGATCTTAAAATCAAAAGATT